CATGAAATCTATTAGATTATAAATTGTATAAAAATCATAGAAAAAAGAAGAATAATCAGAATCTAAAGTTCCATATATTGCTTTTGATTATTCTGATCGCATTATTATTTGTAAGAGATGTAGATTTAAATTTCATGCTGAATGTGTTTAAGTACTTGATAACATAAATGATTGGATTTGTGATTATTGTTTAGACAGAATATAGGAACTTAAAAATTCAAATTAATGGGATTATATAAATAATAAATAGTTGAAATAGCAAGTATGTCCAACATCTGAATAAAAGAAGATTAATTTATCATTAATAGAAAGAATTTAGAAAAAATAGAAAATCTTTATTATTGAAGAAATGGAAATAACTCCATTCAAACCTATTGATTAAATATAAGATTTCTTAAGAAAATATCCACTTTATAGAGGTTAAAATGGAAAAATAAAATATCCAGTATTAGAAAAATTAGCTCTTGATTATCCAGAAGTCTTAGAAATTAAATAGAAACCATAACCATATATGATAAATTCAAATTTAGTTGAAGAAATCCTTAAAATATAAACAAGTTATTAGATATTATTTCCTTAATGTTAAACACCTCAGAATGTTAATTAGGATTATATTGAAAAAAATTTCTATGAAATTCTTATGAATTTACTAAATGAATACTTTAATGAATTTATGTAATCAGATGTAGTTAAATTTGATAAGTATTGCAGTTAGGCAAATGTTTAAGCCAATGCTTTTTTAGAAATAATGAATTATTTATATGATCATTAAGAAAATATAATTAAAGAAGATTTAATTAAAAAGACATGGGTAGAATTTGTAATATAAATTGATCAAATAATAAATTATGATTGTGAATCAAATATTAATAAAATAGATTTTAACAGTTTAGAATTTTCAGATTAAATATACATATTAAATATTTTAACTGAGGGTTTATATGATTTGGATAAAATGAAGGAATAAATAAAGTAAAAAGACTCTTCAATTAATTATAGGCAATGTAAAATCTCAATTTATATTAGCTCATTTAAAAATATTATTTTAGTAAAACTAATCTGCCTATATTAATTGTGGAACTTATCTTGGATAAGATGCAGATGAATAACAATATTTTTATTTTACTCACGTTCCTAGTTCAATATTTGTAGAAACAATGACAGGTTGGGGTTAATATACACTCTCAGATTTATCTGAATTAATGAGTGCTCTTAATTTGTAAGGAGTTAATGAATCAAACTTATTTGAAAACCTGGAATTAATAAGTTAAGTTAAACTCTTTGATAATACAACTCCAATAAAATCATAGAATCGATTAATTTAAAGTATTTGTAAACCAATAATTAGAATAGTAATATCATCTTGAAATCATAGAAGTTATTGAATAGTTTTTAATTACTGAAGAAACATATACTAAATATTTATTATCTAAGAATTTGTTTTGGATAGAAAATAATAAAAAACAAAGTTTTTATTAATTATTAAAGAATGAGAAATAAGTTGAATCTTTAATATAAGCACTAAAATAATTTTTCAATGGCCTATTATTGTTAAAATCTAATGATGGATAATTTGTTAAACCATTCAAGATTTTTAAATAAAATTTTGAACTTGTCAATTAATTAGCTATCTATGTTGACAATGCATAATCCTAATATAGCGTATATATTTCTTTAATTACTTTAAATTTATTATTAGAAGAATATCAATAATATCAATCTTAAAAAGAATTGAAAAATAAAAAAAATCAAGCTTAACGTAAAATCACTCAAAAAGTTAATTAAAAAGAAATTAAAAAGATCAAAAAAAAATCTAAATTAAAACACATTGAGGATGAATCTATAGAATAAGAATAAAGTCTCTAACATGCTAATAGTCTCGCTAACAAAAGAGAAAAAAGGGAAAATGCAGGAAAAAAGTATATTAATGTTTTTAATAAATCATAGTCCAAACATCAACTTTGATTAGTAAGTTAAAAATCAAAAGAAAATATTTTGTACATCTTGTAAGAAATAATTTCCCTAGATTACTTAAAGTGTTTAATGTTCCAGATGCAATAAACCTTTTCATTAAGAATGTTTATCAATAAGAAAAGATTATTGCAAGAATTGTGTCAGAAATGGCAGCAAGAAATAAAAATGAGGCTTTTCCGTAAATAAGCTTAATTAATAAAGTATATTCATTTCATTAAAATATCTTTTTACATTTCTAAAGTTTATCTTAATTATTCAAGATGTTATCTAATATATAGTATAAATCCATATAAAATGTAAATGTATTTCAGATCTAAAAATAAAGTTTTTCATTAAACATAAAATTTAAGTTCTCATAAAAATAAAAAATTTCAAACTAGTCATTATATCAAAAAATCTTCAATATTATCATTCAAATCTTAAGTTTTCTTCAAACATTCATTTATTTCCCTTTCAAACTTAAGAAATTTAGCATCCTCATTACTTTAAGTTAGAATAACTGTAGACAAAAAACATTTATACAATTATTCTAAATTTTATTTCAAATCTTCGGTCTACTTATGTATCATAGTCACAGCAATTTTCATATCTGAATTTTCTTACTACTTTTCTTATAACATATAAATATTACAAATTAAATAGGTTAAGCTTTTGGTTTAAAATAATTTAAACCTTTTGTTAATATGGAAGGAGTCTTAGAATTTTTAGAAATTTAACTCTCAGAATCAGATATCATTGATAAATCTAAATTATTTGCTTCTGCCATAGGAGTTTTTTAAATGCTTTAATTCATAACTTACTTTTGCATATTTGTAACAGGTTATTACTTTGAGTGTTTAATCATTTAAGAAATTTATTGATTTTCTATTTGTAATTATTTATTAATTGAATTTAGATCATTGAGTTTCTAAATTAATATAGATTAGTACTTATTTTAATTATTAATTTTATTGTTCTAAACGATTCAATTCACTTAAGGCAATTGCTCTTTTGTCTAGATGTTAGTGATTGGTGATTTTCTATTATTCTAAATCGTGATTTAAATCATTAATTTAAATTTTATTTTCAACTATCTTTTATTTTAATTCACTGTTTTTTTAAGTTAATCTATTATTAATTAATAAATTACTCTTAAATAGCTTATTCTAATTTTGACATTTATAATTCTTTTTCCATAACTATTTCTGGATTAAGAGAAATTTCTGATGAAACTGTGCTTTCAGTTTTTTACTGAAGTAATAAAATTTATTCTTCAAGTTAAGTAATTTTAGCTTAATATTCTGATTCTTGCTATTATAATTATGATTTCATTAATTTTAATTTTTCCTTTTAATCATCAAATATTTCTTTTTCTTATTTTCTTTTTTCTTTCAAGGAATCTAATTATTATTGTAATAGATTATTTTTTTAAAATAATTATGTTGCTTCAGACTTATATTAATTTAATTCTCTTTCGTTTCTGAGTAGCTACATAATATAAATAATCATACTTCTTTACATTTTTATTCTTATTTCAGTTCTTCATGATTTAATTTTGTTTCCAAATCTCTAAGTTTGTTATTAAATAATTCAGTTTATTTACTTAGTTCTAAACTCTTCTCTTCAATTTATTATTATATTTTAGAATTTTCTTATTAAACTTTTTGAATTTCTTTTTATAATTCATTAACCAAAACTATATATTCTCCTTTTAGCATTTCTTTTTCATTTTCCTTAATTTAATTCACATTTTAAAATTCTTTTTACAATTCCTAATATTTATATTAAATTTCTTAAAGTAATTGATCAATAATCTTTTTCTCATTATTTAATTGTTCAATTTAATTTTACAATTAACTAACTAATTATTATTAAGTATTCTTTTAATTATTAATTTTATCTTTAAGTTATTTTTCAGATTCTAATGACATAACTAAGTCTTAATTTTCAGATTGCAAATTAGATACAATTTATAAAGTTTTTTCTATTTAATCCTTTAAATGTTGAACTTCCTCTGATTAGTATTGTCTACTGGATTAGGCTGGTAGATTTTCAACAAACATTAATATAGAGTCATCAATCTACTAAAGTAAATCATGAAACAATGTTTTAGATTCTTGATTTATTTTGAATTAATACCTTAATCATCATTATCATACCCTACTAAATCATTATAATTTTCCAAAAAGTCATTCATTATGTCTTTTATAGTATTAAATAAAGATTCTTTTAATTCCTGACATTTTTTTTCTTAAAACTCTTAAGGCATTTACATTTTTTAAAGAGCTAAAATTTATTATTTGTATTTTTAGCATTCCTTGTTAAGTTTCTCTTTTTCCTAATATTCAATTTCATACTTCTTTAGAATTTCCATTTGACTCATTTTATATTGTTCAACTTCATCCATTAATTATTTTCTTTCTACCTATAGTATCTCAATTTTTGAAAATATGGGTTCAATTTCAACTCTTTACTAGTCATAACTAATTTTTTTTGGAATTCATACGCTTTTCTTAAATCATTTATATACTATTCTTGTTTTATAGACTAATCATTGGCTTTCTTTGAATCATAATTATACTTTTTAACAGCAAGTGAATCAAATTCCAAATATTGTGTAGGTAATTTCTTCTATTCTTTTTTTGAAAATAATGACATTTTATCTATTGTGTATTAAATAATGAAAAATTCAAATAATATTTTTTCTGATTATTTAAGATTTCATTTTTTATTCAATTGCAATAGAAATTTATAATATATATATAAGCATCCATTTTGTTATTTTAAGTAGTATATATTCTATACATTACTATACTAATTAGATGTGAAATATAATTAAAATTGTTACTTGATGAATTAAAATCAGAATATAACATTATAAATTAATAGAGAAAATGGGAGTGATACTTATAAATATACTATTAATTAAATAAATTTTGAAATAAATAGATATATATTTTCAGTGTGTATCTTTAAAGAGTAGAGGTCTTATTTCTGTAATTTAATGAATACAATTATTAATAAATTATAAAATTTAATCAATAAAAATGCTTTATTCTCGACCTAAATATTTGCCAAAATGCAATAATCATCCTTGTGAGACTATAGAATCATTTGAAAATGCATACAAAAACAACCTTATTTAATGGTATTAAATCAAATCTCTGCACTACTTAAAGTGAACAACCTACATGTTCACTTTTTGTTCTTACGATATATATATATTTTATTAATTGTGGTAATTTTAGGGCTAAGAAATAAAATGTCAACGAAATTGCAGTTGTTTCCAAAAAAATTACAACTTTTATTATTAGAATGTATATCTATGATTTGTAAGTCGAAAGATGCAATTATGCTTTAGATGAATAAAATCCAAGGTAGAAGTATCATAATTATCAAAAGATTCCCTTCAATAACAGAAGATATTAAAAAAGTATGTTTACTTCGCAAGAGACGTAGTCATGAAGAAGAAAAATTACATTTAGAATAGGTATCTTTTAATTATAATAATAATATTAGAAATTATTATCAAAAATTTATATTGTCGATTAAGATGAAATTTTTGAGAAATTTTGTTTATAAGGATCTTTAGAAGATAATATAAACTTATTAATAGAATGTTCAAATGGTCTTGCATTTTCTTCATAACCAAAAGTTTCATATAATTGTATTACAAAACAGTATATTGTAAATGATGCTATTTGGTTTAATCCTAAAACATATTAGTCCTGTACTGGATGGATTACAAATGAATTTGAAAAAGCAATAGCATTATTGTATAAAATAAATTCAATAATTTAGATACTATTAGCATCAATAAGATTGCATTGAAGAAAACAATCTAAATAAAGATGATGATCTAAAAAGATTTTGGATTCAGGATTTTGATTTAAGAACTAAAATCCTTAATTAAATACCTTAGATTTGTAAAGAATTTAAGAATGCTCCAAAAAAAAAGAATACAAAATAAGAAGATATTTTATGGACTCAACTCATTTTNAATATATATATAAGCATCCATTTTGTTATTTTAAGTAGTATATATTCTATACATTACTATACTAATTAGATGTGAAATATAATTAAAATTGTTACTTGATGAATTAAAATCAGAATATAACATTATAAATTAATAGAGAAAATGGGAGTGATACTTATAAATATACTATTAATTAAATAAATTTTGAAATAAATAGATATATATTTTCAGTGTGTATCTTTAAAGAGTAGAGGTCTTATTTCTGTAATTTAATGAATACAATTATTAATAAATTATAAAATTTAATCAATAAAAATGCTTTATTCTCGACCTAAATATTTGCCAAAATGCAATAATCATCCTTGTGAGACTATAGAATCATTTGAAAATGCATACAAAAACAACCTTATTTAATGGTATTAAATCAAATCTCTGCACTACTTAAAGTGAACAACCTACATGTTCACTTTTTGTTCTTACGATATATATATATTTTATTAATTGTGGTAATTTTAGGGCTAAGAAATAAAATGTCAACGAAATTGCAGTTGTTTCCAAAAAAATTACAACTTTTATTATTAGAATGTATATCTATGATTTGTAAGTCGAAAGATGCAATTATGCTTTAGATGAATAAAATCCAAGGTAGAAGTATCATAATTATCAAAAGATTCCCTTCAATAACAGAAGATATTAAAAAAGTATGTTTACTTCGCAAGAGACGTAGTCATGAAGAAGAAAAATTACATTTAGAATAGGTATCTTTTAATTATAATAATAATATTAGAAATTATTATCAAAAATTTATATTGTCGATTAAGATGAAATTTTTGAGAAATTTTGTTTATAAGGATCTTTAGAAGATAATATAAACTTATTAATAGAATGTTCAAATGGTCTTGCATTTTCTTCATAACCAAAAGTTTCATATAATTGTATTACAAAACAGTATATTGTAAATGATGCTATTTGGTTTAATCCTAAAACATATTAGTCCTGTACTGGATGGATTACAAATGAATTTGAAAAAGCAATAGCATTATTGTATAAAATAAATTCAATAATTTAGATACTATTAGCATCAATAAGATTGCATTGAAGAAAACAATCTAAATAAAGATGATGATCTAAAAAGATTTTGGATTCAGGATTTTGATTTAAGAACTAAAATCCTTAATTAAATACCTTAGATTTGTAAAGAATTTAAGAATGCTCCAAAAAAAAAGAATACAAAATAAGAAGATATTTTATGGACTCAACTCATTTTAAAATAAGCTTCATAATAAAATGATAAATAAATAAATCAAGATCAAAATTTTTAAATGATGTTATAATCAATTAATGAATAGGATGTTTCTACTATAATTATGAATAATGAATTAGAGAGAATAAATTATATGCCACTTGAGAAGATTTTAACCATATAGATATTATGTTAAAGAAGGATATTGAGATTGATAAGAGATCACTATAAGGAAAAATTAATGAAAGACATTTAGAATATAGAAGGTAAGGAAAAGAAGAAACATGTAGAATAAAAAAAAAAATCTAAAAAACACAAAAAGCAAAAAAATAAGAATGAATAAAAAAAAATTAATATGAATTAAGATAAAAGTAATAGTTTTGAGTTAGCAGATAAGCAAGACACAACTCAAGATGATGTTCATTGTAATGAATATGAAATAGATAAATCGGCTAAGTAATATTTAGCAATATTATTTATAGTCCATGTTTAGAGATTACTAAAAATATTCAAGTGTCTGGAAATTCAGATTTAACTTAAAATACTATTTTAGAAATGAATCTGATTGAAGAAACCAATAAAATACTTGATGCTGAAACAATTATAGAATTAAACAATAATAATTAAAATGATGATGATGAAAATTGGGTTGTAATTACAGCACCAAAAAAATAAAAAAATAAATCCAAATGCAAATGCAAATTTGCTACTACTTAAGAGGATTAATTCAAAAAATAAAAATCACTATAGAAATCAATTCCATCAAAAATCAAAGAATAATCTATTAAATCAAATGCTCATGATTAGGATCTTTTTTCGAGCTAAAAGAGCTAAAAAAGAAATGCATAAGCTATTGAAATGATTAAATAAGATATATTGATAGTGAATTAAGAGAAACCTATAAAACAATAATGTTAAGAAATTACTAATCCACCATCTCAAGAATTTGTAAAAGATAATCAAATTTCTTTGTAAAAGTTGGAAGATACTTAAAATACTAATCAATCTCCTAAAATGATATAAATTATGGATTTGAGTCTTAAAATTCAATAAGAATCTGAAAAATTATATTAAAAAAATTGTAATATTAATACTCAAATGGATGTTTAAAATACTTGTTAGAAATAACAAATTAAAGAAGATTAAATAGATTGTGTAATATTGAATTAGGCAAGGGCCTTAATGATTAAAAAGCTTGATATGGACATGAGAGAATTTAATGATGTTATTTTAGGATAGAATCAATAAATTCTAAAATTCAGAAGGATAATTTATGATAGATTATAATTTGTCATCAATTATCTATTTAGAGGTTTCATTTATCATATATAATAGCTAGATTTTAATTCTTAAGTTCGCCTTTTCGGTTCATGTGCCACTGGTTTAGCCCTTCCAGAAAGTGATATTGATATAGGAATAACTGGATTTGAAATGTGTTCAACATCTTCTTTAAATATACCAATTTAAAAATTAACAGAATTTCTCTAAAAAATGAGATGGGTTAAAAATATAGTGTATTTTAAATTGATATACTTTTTTATAGTGCAATCACTTCATCAGCAATGCCATTAATAAAATTATAAGTAGATCCAACTATTTCATTTGTATAATCTTCCTTACCAATAGGCTTACCATACATAGATCTTGTTTTAAAGTAATGATTCATTTATTAAATTAGTCCTGATGAAGATATTCCTAAATAGATCTTTAGTGTTGATGTTAGTTTCTTTCAATATTCAGGTCTTAAGTAAAACCAACATTTAGGTTTGATTTCAACAGATTTAACTTTATAATGGTTGTCTTTTTATAGTGAATTGAGACCAATTGTATTATTATTCAAAAGTTTACTAAAGAGAAGAGGATTAAATGATTAATATAAAGGAGGAATCTCATCTTTTTGCATAATTTAAATGGTTTTAGCATTTCTAGAATGCTTTTATCATTAAAATTAAGCTTCATCTATTGGTTACACCACATATAATTTTTTGAAATTTTATGGTACAGAATTTGATCCAAAGACAACAGGAATAAGTTACAAAGGATTTAATGAAAAGTAATTAAATTATTTAATTATAGTCCATTTTATGATTTAAATGAATTTGATGATTAATCTGAAATAACAATTGTGTCTCCAATTACAAATGAAATAATTAGTTCAGCTACATCATTTGTTTTAACAATATTATAAGATTTAAAGGCATTATATTAAGCAACTGAAAATGAAATAACATTTTTTTATGAGAAATTAAAATACAATAAAAAAAAGAAAGGAAAGAAAGAAGAGCGAAATTTATTTTAAAAGGAATTGAATAGACTTCGACCTCTCTTTAGCACTACTGTATATAATAAAACTTGACTTTAATTTTTTAAGTAAATAAAATACCAATTGGTAAAGTAGTTAACAATTTTTATAAAATTCTTTATTCATTCTAATCCTTCAACATTTGATTCCTAATCTCCAATTAATTTAATTGGAGGAACAAATAATTCTTACATTAATTTAACAGTATCTATTTCTATATTAATTAATTATATATAATATACAAGTATGTGCTTTTCTTTCTTTTCTTAATATAATTAAACTAGGTTTCTTTATTCCTTCTAAAATTCCAGTTACTTTTTAGAATTCAGGTTTTGATCCATCACATAAATCCCATATTGGCAATCCTCCACCTTCACTAACTACACCTTCACTTTCAAAATAATTATTTATTCTAGAAGTTGCTACAGAAGGTAAAATAAAAGAATCTAATTGATAAGATGAGTTAAGTTAAGGAATTTAAAGTAAAGTGGAAGAATGATTTTACATTCTGAAAATTCTACTATCATCAGGTGTAATTGGAGACAATAAATTTTATTTATTGAAATCATTATTTTCTACAATATTAATTAAAAGTGGAGTTTTTTTACTTTTACCTGTAGGACTATAGACAGTTTTTTTTGTACCTTTTCTTTTTTCATTCATTATTTATTCAAATGTAAGTTATTAATTTTGTGTTGATTTTTATTAAGAATCCTTTGTTTATTAATTAATAAATTAATTTTATTTAGATATTTGGTTTAATTTATGTGGATTAAATGCAATTTCTACTGATTATAGTTTGTCTTAATTCTAGATTAATAAGAATTTACTTGCATAACATGAATTGTCTAATGTTTCTTTTATTTGCTATATTCAGGTAATCTTTCCCAATCATATGTATATGTAGAAGTATTTATTGTTAATTTATTAAGATTTTCAATTTCTCTTTCAAAATATGATTTTAATTTATCATAATTTGGAGTCTCTTGAAATTCTAAAGTTTTCACATCATTCATATAGAAATAGAAACACTATAAATACAATAAAATGATATTACTTTTGGTAAATTAGAACAAAGATCTTCAATTTTAGTTTATTTTTTAATTTAATGAATTTTTGAATATTTAATATCCTTAGAATCTTTTTACAAATTCATCCAAGGTAGATTTCCTGTAGCAAGATATATCAAAACATAGCCAATACTCTCTAGATCATCTTTTCTTCCTTATTCCATTTCTTCATGTGCACTTAATGATGCATATCTAGCAGTTCCTATAAGCCCTGCCTTTTTAACATAAGGAATGTGTTAACCTTTACTATTCTATAAATTAATATAATATGTATTTTACAATATAATGTTTAGAGAGTCCAAAATCAATTAAATATAACATTTTTGCATTAGCTCCAGATTCGATTACAAAATTATCAGGTTTAATATCTCTATGAAGAAATCTATTATCATGCATAACTGAAATTCTATCAATCATCTGTTAGGCTAATATCATCTTATTTTGAGTACTTAAATTGCTAATCTTAATACAGTGATTTAATTCATCATTCCACCTAATTTTCTAAAAATTTATTCTAAATTTTTTCCTAATAATGTCATAATACAATAAGTATATCCTCTTTCTTATCCATAGAATTTAATTTATGGAAATCCTTATTATTTTCTAATTTTAAATGATGTAATTATACCTTAATTCAATAAGAACTTTGATTTCTCTTTCTAATAAACTATTTTCATCATCATCTACTTCAACTTTCATAGCCCAAAGAGCATTATTATTATTTCTATCAAGTACTTTAAAGACACTTCCAAATGAACCTTCTCCTATTTATTGACTAATTAGAAACCGATTCTAAATGATATCTCCTACCTACTTTTAATATAAATGATATACTTTTAATGGTTGAATATCCTCATCACTTTCATAGTATTTTTTTTCAGATTATATATTATCTGTAAAACTATCTTCATTTTTAGAAATCATTTATTAATAATGAATAATAATATAATATTATAAATATTTCATAATTATTGTAAATGATGATGCCATTTTGTTTTTTCAGCAAGTATCCCAGGATTAGAAACATTGCCAAATTTTCCAAAATTACCATAAACATTATGAGCAGTACTAATGAAATGTCTTTTTACATTAAAACTTCAATATATTATATATATAAGTATTTACTGTCTATCTCCAATTTCTATTTGTGATGCATTTTTAGTCAAAATTGGTGCATCAGGTTCAGGTAATCGAGATCTAAAGGAACCCATAGTATAAGGAAATAAAGTTTTCTTCTCAGATCCAACATGTAAATTAGGTTTTGGTTTATAATCATCACTATAAGTTGATGTAACACAAACAGATTTATTCTAATAATCAATTTATCCCTTATTTGCAATTTCATAAAAGGGAATAGCCTATGTATTTATTTATCTGATACATAAGGGTTTCCTTTTTTCATGTGAATGTAGGAACATGAGTTTACTCTTGTATCTTTAAAGTAGGGATGTGACTTTTATTATTTTTATGATTAATGTAATATCATTCTACCACTAATAGTATGATTGGTATTTGTTTATGACATAAAATAAATAAATTTTAATGAGTTCATTTTATAATCATCAACCTAGAAGAAAGCATTCTCAAACATCTTTTTATTTAAAGACTCTTCATTGTCAATCATCACCAATTAAAGATTATAATAAAGATAATACTCAATAAGAATATTTATAGAATATGTTAAGAATGTAATAAAAAGAAATTGAAAGATTAGAACATCAAAATCGTAATCTCTAAATTCTGACTGAACATTAAAGTAAAATAATTTATTAAGAAAGATAAAACAGGACTCACTTCATTCCTAAAATTTAAGATAAAGATACTATGAGCTCTTAATAAATTATCAATAAGTAAAAGATTGAGAATTAATTGGATAAACCTATAAGAATTTAAAGAAAAAATACAATAAATCGTAAATTGACTGTGCTGTTTTAATAGGATGACACATTCAAATTGAATTCTTTATTAGATTTAAATATAACTGACGAGGAATTAATCAACAATTATTAAAGTGATGGTTCTTTATCATTAATTGAAGAGACTCTAAATGATGAGGATTGTTTTTTAGATGTTATTCATAATTATCCTCCTTAAAAAGTTTCAATAATTTATGACAAATTGAAAAAATTATATCATGAACATAATCTAATGTTTCATATTATTCTTAAACTTAAACTTCTAATCTAAAAAGGATTTATGATACAAAACAGTAAATTACTGGATGAATCATTTCAAATATTAAGAGAATCAATTATAACAATAATGAATAGTTAAGAAGTAAAAATATATTTGATTGATGAAGAAAAAAAAGAACTTTATTCTCGATAAGATAATTAGAAATATTAAATTGGAGAAGGTTTAATAGGATTTGTAGCTGAAACAAAATAAATTTTAAATTTAAAGAAAGCTAAATATGATACTAGATTTGCACCTATAGATTCAAATGTAATATTGGCAGCTCCAATAATGGATAATTAAAAATGTTATGGAGTTATAGTATGTTAAGAAAAGAAGAATGGTGGTATTTATTCTGAAGAAGATGAATCATTATTATAATTGTTATCAGAATAAGGTAAGATGATCTTATGTAATGTAATGAATCATAATTAATTAATGACAGCTGTGAATAAATTTAGACATGCACTTAAAAGTAGTATACAATTTATATAATTGAAAAGTTAAACATAATTAATTTAACATGCATAAAAAAGATTAAAAGAAATGATGAATAGTGAAATAGCAACAATTAAATTAATAGAAAATATTGAAGGATAAGGAATTATGGGAGAAGCAATCTTAAATAAATCAATAACCTATCATCACAATTCATATAATAGTTAGTCTTTTAATCCAAATATTGATCTTAATACGTCATTACCTATATTTACACTTCCTGTCATTTGTAATAAATAAATAGTAGCTTGTGCATAATTCACTTAAGTTAGAGGATTGGTTTAATAATCATCATTATCTTCGATAGAATAGGAAGTTTTGGAATTGTTTTTATAATCGTTCGGTTATCTAATAAGTAAATGATATATTTATTTATATATATATATATAACATTAAATTTAAAATGTTTATAAAAGAAGCTTATGAAAGAAGATAAAAATAGAGTGATGGAGAATAAGAAATATTATAGACTGAATAAAGAATTCATAAGATTGGTAGTATCAAGAACAATAAAATGAACTATGATAAAGATGAGTAATTTTTTAGTAAAGAGGATATTCCATAAAGAGCATTATAAATAAAAGAAACTGTTTAAACTTTTGTTGATCCAGTAAATTTAATTTGCATTTAATATGATAGGATATTTTAGGGTTAAGAAAGAAAGAATGGAATAGTAGTGTTTCAGTTCCTAAGAATCCATTATCTGAAGAAACTCATGAAAGAAAATTAGTTAAAATTCGATTAGGATTATTTGATCATCCAATTCCAAAAGAGAAGGCTAATAAAATATATGAAGGCATAGAAACTAGAGACAATTATTTATTAGCAAAGAAAGGTTCAAGTAAATGGAATGTGAGTAATGAAACCAATAATTTGGAATTCTAAAAACAACTCATAAATTAGACTAAAGAAGCATTAAAAAATACTAAGACTAAAGAAGAAGAGATTATTAAGAATTATTTAAAGCCTATAGAACATTAGACTAAAATTTAATTAGATTTAAGATCTTAAAAAGTAAATGAGAAAGAGATTAGAGATAAAATAAGATAAGATTATAAATTGGCAAATCCTGCTGCTTCATAATAAGCGATTGATGGAGCTGTCTTTAGATTGGCATATGAGACTAAATTAAGCAAAAATCAAGAACAAATTTAGGTAAAGATTTAAATCTAAATAGAGGATAAAAACTATACATTTAAACCAGATATGGCAAGAACATTGAAATAGGATTTAGATTATAAGTATTGTCATAATGGGGTTTGGTAAAAGATGCCAGATGGTAGTGAAGGTTGGTCTTGCTGTATGAATAGTACATTAGAATCAAAAGGATGTATAACAATTAAGATAGATAAAAACAAATGGGATTATTCATCATTTACACATTGATTTATTAAATTATATCAAATAATATAAATAAATTTTGAAATGGGTAATTCAGATAGTAACGCAAGCATTAAAGCTTTACATGCTAATTATATGGTGGTTCGTAATATCAAAGATGATCCAAGATATGGGGAAGGTCGATTAGTGAAATAGAAACAGACAAAATAAGATGCATTTTAGAAGGAGATCAATTTAACAGATGAAGATAAATTCAAGAAACTTAAAGTAATGTTGGAAAAGAAAGAAAGTAACACATACGATCACATCATTAATGTTACTAGTATTAAAGTTTGCATAACATTATCTAGAGCTATATTATCATGAAGATAGTTAATTCTGTGGTCAATTTTTTAAAATTTACATTTTGTTAGAATATATACCATTATGTTTATATGATATCATAGAGCAAAAATTAGCTAAGAAACAATAGTTCAAAGAATAAGAATTAATGTAAATTCTAAAAGGATGTATTGAAGGATTGTTCATTTTGCAATTTTAAAATATTACACATTAAGCTATACGACCAGAGACTATATCTTATTTAGAATAATATCCATTTGTTAAATTGACTGATCCTACTGTGAGTGGAGTATTGAGTTCATTTCAATTAGTGGTGTAAGACGAATTGAAATAAATCAATTAGAACTATTTGAGTCCTTAGTTGATGCAATCTTTGAACGATGAAATGCAACCATAGCACAATCCTTATAAAAGTGATGTATATTCATTAGGAATGACAATGCTCCATCTCTCAACTCTTAATAATTGTGATGATTGTTATGATATTCCAAGATCAAAAGTTTTACATTAATAAGTCTAGCGTAGATTATAATAAATAGAATCCTCTTTCTCATCCTAATACATTTAAGTACTAAGAGAAATGTTACTCTTAAATGAAGACTAAAGACCAGATTTTATACAATTAAAATAGGTATTATAAGGAATTTCTACTCCTCAATCTCCTCAATAACCATATTATGAAGAAGAATAAATAATATAATCAAAGAAAGTTCCCATTATACAAGTATAAGCTTATGAATAGGCAGTGGAAAGTTTCTCAATTTAATAACCATCATAAACACCTTAAATAATTATGCATTCAGAATAGAGTGCTAAATTTAATATATAATAATCTACTTAATCTATAAGGAATAGTTAGATTTAGAAATCTTAATAATTAAAATAATCTCAATAAGTAAATTAATCCATTTATGTTGAACGTAATGGAGTATAAGAATTGAGACCAGATATATGTGATCATATTAAAATAGTAATAAACATTTGATATATTATTATTAGTTGCCCTTATCTGATTAAATTGCTGAACCATCTGAAATTGATCATAATATTGGAAATCAAATTGGAATGGATTAATTTTTAGATATTACTCATGAACCTGATTAATAAGAAAATTTGATGCCAATTACATCTTTTGAAACTTCTTAATAATATTAACAATTCTAACATATCTAATAATCTAAATCAAATTTACCTGTTACTTATGAATCATATAAAATGGATTATAATATGCAAATGAATAATTCATAGAATAATTATAAATATGATTATTTATATGATAGAAATTTAAGCAATCAAGAGAAACTTATTAATTATTAGAATGATTTCAAGAAAACTTTAGAACATCTATCAGTATAACCTGAAAAAGTTATAGAAGTATATGCAAATGGATCTAAATATGATGGTGAAAAATTAAATGGAATGAGACATGGATATGGTACATTTTTTTATTAAGATAATGGAGGAGTATATGAAGGTCAATGGTTTGAAAATAAAATGCATGGAATAGGTAATATTATACATTTATTCTATTTTAGGAACATTATTTTATGCATCAGGTAAACCTGCATATGAAGGATAGTGGGTAAATGATAAATTTTAAGGTAAAGGTACATTGTACAATGAGGAACCATAAATGTTATTTAGTGATTTTGATTATGGAGATTTTGATTAAGTAGGAGAGTATGTATTTTTTAAATAAATTTTAGATACTGGACTAAATATTTTGGATAATTCCATGAAGATAATAAAGAAGGATAAGGAACTTTATTTTTGTCTAATGGTGATAAATTTGAAGGCAATTTCCTTTAAGATTTAGTAAGTGGTCCAGGAAAGTATATAAAAGCGAATGGATAAGTTTTTTCTGGGAGATGGTGGAGAAATAAACTATAATAGTGAAATTAATTTTATTATATATATATATTAATAATTAAATTCATATAATTTATTTTCATTACTTAAATCAACTTCTATATGATATATTCTATCTATAATTTTTACTTATAAAATTAATAATAAAATTTTATAAATATTTTTTATTTTTTCAATATTAATATTATTATCATCTATTGAAAATATCATTAAATACTAAATAATTTATAAATGATTTCAATTAATTAAAATATTTATATAAAGTTCATTTATTAATAACTAAAGATAATGTTTTAAGTACTGAAGGAATAGGCAAACTCTTTTGTTCCATAACTTTTGTTAAACCTTTGAATACTGCCAATTCTTTTGCATTTATATGATATTGTTCAATTAGTTATTCAATTATTAGGTTCGAATTTTGATAATCAAATAAATTTTAAGGTTTTATATCTGAATATTCTTAACAATAAGATGATCTCTTTTTTTATTGTTCTCCTTTCGATTATATATTAAAATGATCTACATTTTACATTTATAAAGGATTCACTATATCTTAAATTTAATTAATATTATTAATCCCTTATTCTAATTCCCTTATTTTTGATAAGTGACAATCACATGACTTTGATAAATTTAATAATTATAAATTAAGTTATTACAATTCCAAAATCTAATATATCTAAATAAATACCTTTTATTCTAATTTACATACTTTCTTTTGAAGTATCAAGTTCTCCTTCAATAATTTTTAATAATCCTCAGTCTTATGTTTAGATGAGTTAGTGTATTCTCTACTATTGATAGTGCTTTTCTAAGTTGATTCTATTTCTGGAATTTAGTACACTAATTCAATCTATTTATAATACATTATTTGTTGATGTAAGATATATTATCATTTTCTTACATTTTAGCTAAGACCTAAGCAATTGCTTATTAAGATTACGAGATGCTTATTTATTTATTCTTTTACATAGTTGACAATCTAGGGTTATTTGGAGATCTTAAATAGTTTAATATAATACTTTTAATTGGGTGATGTTTTTCTAAGTTTATCAGAACTCTCGCTCAAATTTATTGTAGCTTTTCGAGCTGATAAAATTGTATTTTATTGCTATAAAAACAATGCATTTTGAATTGGAAAATTTAATCCTTCTGCTTTTAATATACTATTTGCAGCCTTATCTTTAATTTATTTTGTTCTAATTTAACAATTATTTCAATACATTTTATCTTTAGAGTTACTATTATGATAATTTTTAGGAGGTGTCAAGCTTGGAACTCTTTTTGTAGATAATATGTTAGATGTGTTTAATTAATAGTAACTCCTGTTGTTTTGGTGATTCATATATATTTATAATAAGTTAAAACAATTATTAAATACAATTATTCTTCAAATACATTATGGTGATTATTTAGATTTAATACAATTATCAATTATATTCTAAGAATAAATTGATCGAAATGATTAATTTTCTATGTATAAATTATATAATATAATTGTTTAGATTCCATAAATTTTTTGATTCTCAGAATTAAATATATAAAACATATTAATTCTAATTATTTTTAAATCTATTAATTGTTAGAGTAAATATTATCAAGATTTTTATTAATTAATTAAGATGAGAATCAATTCTACTATTTAATAAAAATAAAAATTGAATAATTATTTAATGAGTATGATCTCAAAAAGATAAGTTATTTTACTAATATAATTTGTGAATTTTAATAATTATATAAATGAAAGCAAGATCTTTTGTTAACATAATTCGATGATAAAATAATTAATTTTCTTTAATCTATTAAAAACAAGTATTTCAGATTTTTATTAAATTATTAATAATAAAAATAATTATTTAATCTTAATAATTTATAATATATTTTATCTAATTTTTTGATGTAAGAAAGCAAAAGAAATTAAAATGTAATTTTTAGATTAATTTTAGTTAATAATAAATTATCATTTTTTATTATAAATAAAGTTTTTCGTATTATTGTTTATCTTTTCACCATTGTACTTTGAATTGAATTGCATCTTCATGTCATTAAATTAAAATGCATAATTTTATAATGAAATTTGATTGGATAACAATGGTGATTTAGTTTTAGATGATATATTTATATTAGATTTCTTATTACCCCCTAATTTAATTGTATGTAAAAAACCATCAAAATTTTATTTTAATAGTGGTGTTGTATTTGGTTACTCAGTTTTACAATTAAATAAATTAGAAATTTATCTTTACATATCTCTAAATTTATCATCTTTTACTTCTAATTTACTTTTTGGATATTAATCTTATTTAGGAGGTGAAATAACTTTTAATGGAGAAGTTGTCTTATCTTATAGAGGAGGAGTATTAAATTAATTAATTGTAAAATCACCTTAAATATTAATATATTTATTAGGAGAATTATTTGATTTGTAACTATCAAAGAGATTAGAGAATTATTAAGAAGATCCAGATTTTTAGAGTATAGATGATTATTGAGGTTTTAAATATGATTTAATTGGTTGTTTTTCTAGTTCTTTTTCTTCCTTTTATAATTATGTCACATCAGACATCCATAATTTTTCAAATTCTTCTCTTGTAATCTCTTAACTTTTCGATGTATTTAGTAAATTAAAGATTTACATGATTTAACTAGATAATTAAAAAATAATACTTATTAGAGGTAATACAATGATTAGTTTGGAGTTCAAAAGTCAATTCTTCTATATCAATTGTTCCATTATTTTTTGTATCAATTGAATCAAATTTATTTTTTACATTAGAAAATCTGGATTGTAAATTAGTTTTCACTTTCTTCCATAGTTATATTGTTTAAAGCATATTCGTTATAAAATTAATTTAAATTTATTCAAATTAAATTGGTTAATATTTTCTAAGGATTTATTAATATTGTAATATTTTATGGATAATTAAACATAAATTCAATAATAATTTATCTACAGAAAACTTGAGCTACAAGATTATGAAAAAGGATTTCTCCATTGTTTATCTTATTTAACAAAGACACCAGACCTTCCATTTGAGAAATTTAAAGAAATTTATAACAATTATCCTGGTTTTGTATATGTAGTTGAAGATGTTTAAGCAAAGATGATTGCTTCTACAATAAGTTTAGTTATTGAATAGAATATCTTTGAGAATAAATATTATATTGAAAATGTTGTAACTCATCCAAATTATAGAGGAAAAGGTTTTATAAGAGAATTATTGGAATTAATAAAATAAGATGTGAAAGATCTTGTAAAAAAGACAGATGATGGAAATGGAGATTAAAATAAAGAAATATTATTGGAATTATATTGTAAAAAGGAAACAAAAGGTTTATATGAAAAATTAGGGTTCTATGAGGATGGTTTTATTGCCTCTAAATATGTTTGAATATTAATATAATATTTTAATGATAATTAATATTAGTGATTTATTCTTGAGTTTGATTGGAGGAATCATGATTGGAGTTGCATGTAGTATACATTACATCACAAAAGGAAGGATAACTGGAATTAGTGGTATTTATTATGGTGTAATTACATTTAATTGGGATGAATTTTATTGGAAATTATCTATTCTTACTTCATTAGTGTTTTCAACTGGACTGATGTATTAAATTTTTGGGTATTATATTACATTATTTATAGAGATGAGAGCATTATGACAAGTTCATCTTTGGCTTTTAATGAAATATCTTAAATTACTAGTCTATCTTACACTATTGCAGGAATTAGTGGTTTATTAATTGGTTGTGGAGCTAAATTGTGTAATGGATGCACAACAGGTCATGGATTTTGTGGTCTTGCAAGGATATCTATACGTTCATTTGTGGCTTTTGGTTTATTTATACTATTTGGAGTGTTAAGTTGTTTTATTACTATGAGTGAACACAAAGATGATGGGGAAGAGAAATACAATTATAATTATGTTTCAATTATAATGATTGGATTAAGTTTAGTATTATTATCAGCATCTCTATTGGGTGCATATTTAAACAAAGAATAATTAATTGATACTATAGTAGGGATACCTGTTGGATTATTTTTAGGAGTTGGAGTAGTATTTTCAGGGATGATTAAAAGAACAACTATATTGAGTTTTCTTTCTTTATAATAATGGAATCCATAATTTTTATTTGTTATTTTAGGTGCAAATATTGCATGTTTTTTTGGATTTAGACTAATGAAAAAACCTATTTTTGATGTAGAATTTTAATATCCTCCAACAAATAAAGTTACTAATGTTCTTTTAGTAGGAGCTTCTTTATTTGGATTCGGATGGGGAATGACTGGTATTTGTCCTTTAGTTGGATTAGCTTTGTTTCCTTAATTTACATGGTAAATTGGATTAATGTATTTGGGATCAGTATCTATGGGTATGAGAATTGCATAATGTTATCTTAATAAATATTAAAAAGTTGAAGATTAAGTTCTATAATATAATAGTAATAATTATATCATCAAAAATGACAATGAATAAAATGATCGATTTTGATATATATATTTATTTATAAATACTAAATTATATTGTACAATTAAGAATAAATCAATTAACAACTGAAAGAGGAAGTAATTTTCTTTTAATGAATTCATAACTTGCCCATGCTGTAGCTCCAGACATAGTTTACATACATAATCTTGGTAATAATCCTTTATAAAAACCGAGATAACCCTCTTCTTTCAAAATTATTTTAATGGTTCCTAAGAAAGTACTATATTTGACCAATGAAGAGTTTAGATGCCAACTCTAAGTCTGAAATTTGGTTTTGATAACATCTAATGGATTCATAACACAAACAGCTGCACATCCTGCCATAGCTGCACAACAAAAATGACTAACAAAATTATGTTCTGATTTCTTAAACATTAAAGTCTTAATAGTTTCATTGGCAGCAAAAAATATGGCTTAATAAGGGGCAGACATTAACTAAATGTAGTTAATTAAAATACATAAGTAATTGGAAAACTTCGATAAAATGCGATCAGTCCTTCTTACTTTAAGACTGTTTTCACTGTTCTTCTGAAACACTTCTCTTAGATTTGCTATCTTTATTTTATAACTGAAATTTAATAATAGCCATACCATCAAAGGGTACCATGATTAGATCATGCCATAAAGTTGATACTGCTCCAATAAATGCAAAGGCATAAGCATGGATATTTTCATCATTAACATCAAGTAGAGTTTTCAAAATCTTAAATATCTTAATTATTTATACCTCATAACTACTGAAATAAAATGCATGAGCAGGCATACAACCTGCTGTTACTGCTCCATATCCATTAAAAAATGTCTTTAATCCTTATTTCCTAAAATTTGGTATAGTTTATACCTCAATGATATAAATGTCTTTGAGAACTTTGAATCAGGGAGTACTTAAAGATGAGTCTAGATTTTATAGTTAATACTGTACTTTCACATTATCCAATGGTAACATTGATATATGTTCAATCAATCCTGCTAAGCAACCAGCTTAAAATTTTCTTAAATTAATACCAATCATGTGTACTTTAAGTGGTGTGTTTTCAGATCTTTTTTCCCAATCCTCAATTTCCATGTTAAATTAATATTAAAGGATAAAATTTTATTATTATTTTCTTCAATTAAAAATAAACATGAATCATATTTTTCATATAAAAAATCAATCACATAGTTATAAAATAATAGAAAAACACTAATCCAACAAAATAAACAACCAAAACTAAAAATTAAATAATTAATTAATACTTTTGATAATATTTACTTTTGTATTACTAAAAATCTATTTAAGTTTTGGAAATCCTAAATAATTACAATAAGAATGAAGCAAGATTACACTAATCAATGAGCGAGTCTTCAGAAAAACTGATGCAGCATAAAATCCGAATATAAATGTGAACATTAAAATAAATACTATTAAAATTAAACTATGATTTTAATACAGGTTGTTAAAAGTGCTTTAGTGAAACATGTCTTAAAATTTTAAATTTTATTTGTTTCTTTATAATTATATAAACTCCTAAATTTTCTTTCTTTTTTAAAAAATGAGAAGAATTTATGTGAATGAGCAAGTGAAAATAAAATTGAAGATAATAAACGATATTAATACTAATTTTCTGCATTTTAATAAAATAATGCTCTAAATGTAATCTCTTCTAAAAGTGGAGCCTTTATTATTAACAAAATTATTATACCAATACTATTCTTATTAACATTCTATCATCTTTAAAAGGATTTTCATTAAATTTATTTACAAAGCCTTCATTTTTGAGATATTTCTCCAAAATTGAATTGTATATTGGACCCAAGAATAAAAATGTATTACAAATCAAAGGGTATAAGATTGAATTCAAATTTACATTTATGTAAAGACATTCCATAATTGATGAACAATTGCCAATTAAAAATCTTTGATTTAAAATCATCAATAAGACTGAAATAGCAACACTTAAGGTTTTAAGTTTAGCATTACTTCTCATTTTAAAATATCTTTTTATTTATTTCCAGGCATAGACACTTGAAATAAACATAATAGTGTATAGTAAAGGTATTTACATTAAATAAATAATTTTATATTGATATATTCAAAATTATTTACAAGTTTTTATACAAATTAAATAAATACTATTATCACAATTAATCATTAAGTACTATAATTAGATTATATCTCTATTATTTATAAATATATTATTCATAATAAAAAAAATTGAATATATTATTTCAAGAATTACAATAAAATTATAAAATGACATAGATCATTCCATTCATCCTTAATGTTTAATTATTTTATTTACTTTTATTTTTTCTCTATCTACAATTATAAATTACATTAATTTTTGTAATTATTAATTTATGAAATTTTGATTGAAACATAATCAAATTAAGCAGATATTAACTTAAATGAAAATATAATTAACACTAAGTTCTCCATATTCCTTATTTGATTTTTGTAAGTTATAAATTCGAATCAATAAATTTGATAAAGAAAGTAAAATGCATTCTTGGTATTTCCATTACTTTCATACATTAATTTCTTTGTTGGCTTTTGCTTAAATATCCAACATATTAAAAATACATTGAAAAAAATTAATAATTATTTCTAACAACTTATTACTATAATGATATATATCTCTTTTACTTAAAGTAGTTATCCTACAAGAATTATTTAATGTATTGATTAATTGTATATAAAACATCAAATATTATTTTAACTAATATTATTCATTAAATATTTATCAAAGTTTAAAGAGAATGAGAATTCTTATTTATGTTTAAATTAAGTTTCTACTATGTTAGTTAATTTGATAATATATATATAAGAAGAATAGTTTGATTAATTACAAAAGACATGTTTTCATATATTTATTTTTTTTAATTGTTTTATGTATGGGGTTCTGTATTTTATTTATCAAGCCATAAGGTCATCAAAGAAAAAAAGTAATTTAAAATTAATTAAAAATCATAATTGATACTTACAAATATATTTATCCGACCATGTTCAAATATCTCAGACCAATTAAACTATTTTACTCATGTGAATTTTACCAGATTTACAATAAAATTAGTAGGAATAAATCTTTAAGCTTGTCTTTGATACTAATTTCTTAATCATAGATATACTATATTATTTGCCATCCCTTTTCTATGCTATTTCAAATATATGCAAGACCACTTTTTTTATTTAACAAATTCTTTTAGAATATCAAGTATTAGATTTAATTATTAATAGCCTTGACTTTCATTATGATATTAGTGAAATATGGTCAGAAATTTTCTTGATTTTAATGTTGGCTATGCAATTATTATATTTTTTATGTTTTATCCATCTTTATTATTGTTAAAGAGTTAAAGTTAAGAAATAGCTGTTAAGGAAATAGTTTTAGTCATTTTAATAAAATGAGTAAGAAGTAATTATCTTTTTAATTTAGAACGAATCAAATAACATACTCAACTTGAAATAAGCATCTTAATATTATATATCATTTGGAACAAAGATTTACAAATAATTGTTTCATTATCCAATTATTCAATTAGGATTAAGAAAGATATTCACATTATCAAACTAAAGTAAATATTAGAATATGAATTTAGATACTGATTTAAATTCTTATTAAATTTTAGTATTAATCATCACCTACTTTGTAATCTCACTTAATATCTTATTCTATATATTGAATGAGACTCATAATATCTAATTCTCATTTAAAAAGATAGATTTTCTATCTCGTTTTTATTCATATCACACTATACTATAATCATTAACAATAGAAATTATGATTTTTGTAGTTTCTATTTTAGATAATTTAGAAATTGATGAAATGATAATTGTGATTACTCTAATAATCCTACTTACTTTAATTTTAATATTATCTTATAGTAATCCATAATATTAAGAAGAATTAGTTAATAAAATTTAAATATAATCTTATTCACTCTATTTATCAATTATTTTATGTATACTCATTTTTGCAGGTGGATTACACCAAGATTTTTCAGAATTGATATTGATTATATTACCATTAATATTTTAGATTTCTAATTTAATACTTAGAAGATAGGAAAATAAAACATAAACTTTAAGTTATGAAAATAAGAATTTTGATAGTTTGATGATGAATATATATAATTAATGTTAAGAAGCATTAGGTAGAAATGGAATTTTATTAAATGAAATGAAATATCAATTACCAAATAATTTAAATCTTTATTCATTTTCAACTAATCATCTAATTAATTGTGAAAATACAATAAGTTGTTTTTGTCGTTGTTACAAATAATAAGATGATCGTTTTATCTCTCGATTATAATTTAAATAATATGTAAAAGAATTAATAAGATATCATTATGAATTAAAATTATTAAGTTTGAATAAAAACAATTCTTAATAATATCTCAAAAGCTACTTTTATTATATCTTATATATATCAAAAGTAATAAAATAACCTACAAAAGCATTTCATGAAATAATCAAATTGAAGAATAATATGTATTCTGGTATGAATCTATTAGATTAAATGTTTACAAATTCAATTGAAAATCTTGTCAAAAATGATTTTTTAATGATGATAGAAAATAAAAATATAACTAATCAAAAATATGATTGCTTTAAAGTCTTTAATTACATTAAATCTATCAATATATGGAAAGAAAAGTTTGGTAAAATCTTATAAATGTAAAAATAATGGTATATAACTTTATTAAATAAAAATCTTAAATAACTTATAATTGAAGGTTTTAACTTATAAAATTTAATATCAGATCAAGAATAATAATTAAAATTACTTTTTAATTAAAATCCACTATCTTAATAATGTCATATTTTAATACATTTATTTTATAAGTATATTAATTTCAATAAAAGAAAAATTGAAATTCCTGCAATAGATTCTTTGTTTGCTTATAAATTTTAAAATTCAATAAATGGAATTCTATTTCATAAAGAAGCTGCTCTTGTTTATTTATCATTATTAAATACTAAAGGTATCATAAAAAACTACACTAAAACATTTAGAGATGCTCTATGTACAATAGATAGTGAAATAATGAATAATTCTATCAATAATTTCATTCCTGATATTATAGCAAAAGTACATGATTAATATTTAGATAATTTTGTTGAAAGAGGAAGAATCAATATAATGAAATCAGACAGAAGATTTCTATTAGTGAAAAATAAATTAGGATTTATATTCCCTATTATAGCAAAAGTTAGATTGGAAACAGATTTGGGATCAGATTTTGGTTCATCTGCTCTTATACTTCCTACTTATTAAAATTATCATTATATTATGTTGAATAAATATGGTTTAGTAGAAGAGATTAGTGATAAATTATATAATGAAGTTATATTACCTATACTTTGTATTGATTTAAAAGATATCAAATCTTTGGATTGTCTTAAATTAATACCAAAATTAATAAAAAGTTGGAAATCACTTAATTAAACAAATATCTTGGAATAAGATCTTAAAGAACCAACTCAATCATATATTGTGATTCCAAAGAAGAGAAAAAAATAATAAATACTTTTATAATCTTCATTATCAGATAAAAATAAAACTATTTATGAATTTTTAAAAGCTTAAGATTTAGTTAATGAAAAATACTTTGATAACTTCAAATAAATGTATATGTTTAGAATTACATTTAAAATTGTTGAGTTTTATACATTTTAGGATACGTAAAATAACATTTTTTATTTTTAGGATTTATTGTATTGAAATTTAAACTATTAAACCTGTTCGTGAATCATAAAGAATTGAAATATTTGAAAAATTAATTGAAAAATCAGATTATGTAAATTTAAGTAGAAAAATAATTAAAATAAGTTAAGATAAAATGGATTTTAAGAAGTTAAAAAGTAAAAAGTTAGAAATAACTAATTAAAAGGAATCACTCGGTTTCATATCTTATTAACCTGAATAATAGACAATTTATAATTTAGATACATAAAAATTAATTGAAGATGATTATATGATTAGATAAAAGGAAATGTAAATTCATTTAACTAATCCTCTTTATATCTTAGAAGTAAATATTATATTAATATAAGATAGAAGAATGTTAAAATTTAATTAGTTAACCAAATAGTTAAGATAGGAGAATATAAGATCAATAAACATTTCGAATGAAATCTTCAATTGGACCTAGTTTTGGTGCTTTAAATCATTTTGGTAGTAATTTCTCAAATGGGATTAGTTAAGCCTTTGGTTCTGATTAAAATAAATTAATAGTGCATTCAAGTGCAATATTGGAAGCATTAAATGAAAATAAAGAATCAGTTAAATCAAAGAATTCTGATGAAATTATAGGATCAATTGATAATTTTTTATTTGATGGAGATTAAATGAATTCTATATCTTCATCATAAATTAGTGATATAAAAGTAAAGAAAACATAATTGAAACATAATTTATTTGATGAATAAACTAAATAACATTTTATTATACGCATAATAAATTTAATTACATTTACTTTGCTTATAATATTAAACATTTATTACTATTATGTTTTGAATTAAGAAAATAAGGTAATATATAATAATTTTTACATATTATAGATTATAGATTCAGGACTAGAAACATATAGATTATCTAACAATTTTTAAGTATAGCTTAATAATTTTATTTTGACATTCAATTATTCTAATACAAATAGATTTAATTATTATCAATATATGAAATTTTGTGCTACTCGTTTTTAAAATGATATATCTAAACTTTAATATTATTCACCAAATATTGAATAGAATACAAGTAATAAATTAATTATAATTTAGTTTAATATCTTTAAATAAGTGAATTTGAAAATATAACAAATTTAAGTTTGTTTTATTCATTGGGATATTTCTCTTAATATTTATTATCTTAATCAAATTGTTCAAATTAAGAATATTTTTTAGAATTTATAGCTAGAAATTTCATTACAATAATATCTTCAAATTCTGCATTTAATTCAACAGTAATTAAAGATAGTGTAGATTAATTTATGAATGCATAACAATCAACAAAACTATCATTTTATTTTACTTTGATATCACTTTTTTTTGCATTTTTGTTTTACTTCATTCTTTTAATAATTATTAACAAAGCAAAATAAAAGATAATTAAATTATTTAATACTATTTCAAAAGCTTAATTAAATTGTTTAATTGAATAAATTTCAATAGTTGTACATTATTTGGATAAGATTGATTTTATAAATGAAGAAACTACTGAACATCAATTTGAATAAATAAAGTCAAAAATTGCATCTACTCCAATAATAAAAATTAAAACTCCTTAAAAAAGATAATCTTTAAAAATCAAATAAAATAAATCTAAAGAAAATAGTAAAAGTATTTTTTTATTTTAGATTCTAGCTGCTCTTATTTATTTTATTTACTCTTTGTTTTTATTGTTCAGTTACTTTATTATTTCATCCTAATATATAGGTTCTTAAATTTATTAAAATTCATTTGAAGCAGAGACAATATATTCTTTCAAATAATTATTACTTTATAAATCATCCCAATCATATTTATTATAACAAAAGAGTTTTTAGAAACTACTAATTAAATATGTTTAGATAGGAAAGGAAGAGATGTTATTTTTAAATGAATGTAAAATTAATTATATATAATGAATAGGGGAAGAAGCATTAAAATTTATGGAAGAACAATTAGATGTACTTTAGGGTTTTATTTAAAGATTGAATGATTAAAAATCATTTTCAAATGTAATCTTTACAAATACAATAAAGAAGAATGCATGTTAAGCTTTTTAATTTACAATTGTGAATACTACAGAAGATAGTTAATTTTTTAATGAGAATATCTGTAAAAATCTTGATAGTTTAGCATCAGGATTAACAATTTAATTAGTTGCTATATAATAAAGTTTTTAATAATTCTATTCAATGAATAAACTTAATAATAAACAATTTAAATCTTATTTGTCTAATATGGATACTAATTAAACTTTAGAAAATGATATAATAAGTGTGCTTTACACATCTCATGTTTTAACTTTGCTGCATGATTTCGTGGCTCATGAAGCTTAATAAGAATTATCTTTGAATTATTTAGTGCATACTATTAGATTCATATTTGGATTAATACTTTATCTTATTTTAATTATTATAAGTAATAAAAATATAGGGTTGTACTTACATAAAGAATTGATTAGAACAAAATAATTATTTTTATTGATACCATTGGAAGTATTGTGTGAAAATGCAAATATTTTATAGTAATTAATAAGAAATTAGAAATGATGGATATATTATTATTATAATATAAATATTATATTTATAAGTTACTTTAAAATGTCAAATTAAGTATCTATATCAGTTAAAGAATTAAGAGTCATAAAAACTCCAATTGCCACTGATTTTAGTAGTTTTAGAGATTTATAAAGACTTCCAATAACTAAATCTAATTTTAAAAGAACTTATCTAAAAGGTGCTTCTCATAGGGTAAAATCATTAAAAGAAGAAAATTAATTTGCAGAGGCTCACAAAAGATAAGGAAATGAAAAATTATTCAAATTCAATAGATAAGATCAATTATTGAATATAAGAAATATGCATTTACATAAATTAGCTCCATTAAGTACAGAACCTTATGTTGATGAAAATAATAAAATTTAAAACAAATAAAAATAAAGGAATGTAGAATCAAATAATCTTAATTTATAGTTGATAACTAATTCAATTAATTAAACTCTGGAATTAGTTTATAATCCTTAACCAATCATAAAAAAATATTAAAGATATCCTTTATAGAATGTGACTTAAAAGACTGAATTTCAAAATTCATAATTAATAACCTAAGTAACTCATTCAGGTCTTAATTCACCTAAAGAATCATAAAAGAAAAAGGTTGAATTATCAATTTTGAAACCTGCATAAAAGAAATGTCTCAAAGATATCTTTTTAGATTCCATTCAAACAACAAGTTATGGTTCCATTCGAATGGATACCATAGAAACAAAATACATATCTCCTAAATCAAGTTTACCAACATCTTTGGATAACACAAAAAAAATATTGAAGTAATATTTATGAAGAATTTTATTAATATTAATTTGTCTGTTGTTAATGTTTTAAAAAACTAATTAAGTGTCTCCAATCAGAACATAATCCCCAATAATTGCTCATAAACATTCAAATCCAAATAATTCTACATCAGTTTAATAACATTAAGCATAATCTTATTATACATCATCTAAAACTACACCTATGAAAATGTAAGAATAAAAATTTGAAATCATTTAATAAGGGGCAACAATACCAACTTAAACTTAATAATCACCAGAAAAAATTAAAATTTTCAATCATGATTTTGAATTATAAGTTTTAAGAAATGAAATTACATTCAAAGAATAAAAAATTACTTCTTTAGAAAAAGCATTAGATTTAGCAAATGAAGATAGAATACGATTACGCTCTATTTTAGAATAAAAATCAATTTTATGTGTAAATAAAGAGAGGGAAATAGCAAAATTATTGGCTACTATTCATTAATTAGAATTTAAGAGAAATGAAAATTAAATAATTAAAGAACTTTAAACTTAAATCGATACTTTAAAATAATTTATATAAGAAAATGCTTTAAATAGATAAAATATTAAATTAGAAGATACTACAAATCTCAAAAATAAATTAAATACTATATAAGATTAACTTGCATAATCAATAAAATAAAATGAATCACTTTAACAATATGTAAGTGATCTTATGAAACAAAATAAAGAATTATCTTAAAAATATTAGGAGAAATATTTGGAATGTCAATAACTTTAAATGTAATTCAATCAAACATCAAATTATCAATCTGAAATAAAAGAAAATGAATAAAATGACATTCAAAAAAATACATTTAATTACAATTCTTTTCAAAAATAATAAAATTAGTTTGATTAACAGAATGAAATTTAAAAATTTCTATCTTAAATTAAATAATAATATTTAGAAGAATCACCAAAAAGAGACATTGATGATTAGGAATAAATTAATGTTTATCGACCAATTTACAGTTTTTAATCAACAGAAGATATTAATAAAACAGATAGATTAAATAAGTGAATATATTATTATAGTAACTAAATATATATATATATATATATCAATTTATTTTTGTTCTACATACTGGACAAGAATTGTTTATCTTTAACCATTATGTTAAACAATCTTTATGAAAATTATGAAAACAACTCATTTCTAATACAGTCTCATCTTACTTAAAGTCTTCCTAACATATATAACAAGTTTATTATTAATCTTCTATGTTTGCTACATGTTCCCTTAAACTATTTATTTATGATTCTGTAGCTCCTTATTATTGTTCTTCTAAGAAAATTAAATTCTCAGTAAAATGAGCTAGAATATTTAGAAAATCTGAAATTTCATTAAGATTCTATGTCCAACTAGATATAGATCTTGACTATTAAACTTCTGGAGATACATATATCTCAAAAGATCGTAATTCTGTATCATTAATACCTTAATCCATTTATTCTAATGGACTATCGCATAATATGCAATACTCCTATTAATATTCTTCTTATTGATAAGTTCTCTAAATTATCTCCATTTTACATAGATGACACCAATAATTTTCAAATTGATTTCTTCCTTCAAACACACTTCTTAAAACTTAAAACATTTTCGTTAATTTATAAATTTTTAATAATTTCAAGACATTATAAACATAAATAGGAAATCAAAAAATCAAACCATTAATTATCTTAATAATAAAATTATAACAAAGCATTCAAAATCAATTTCATAATATATATATAAACTTTTATTTATATTATTTGTTTATATGATATAATACTAAAATTACTAATAAATTATCAAATATTAAATTGATATTCCTTATTTAAAGAGAAATGAGAAATATAAAATGCTAATATAATTCTATTCATTATCTATCTATAAATTATATATTAAATTTAATAAATAATTATATTTATAAAAAGAGTGAGAATGTGCTTTTAAGTAAATTTTGATTCAAAACATGTAACTTTTAATTAATAAACATTAAGAGAATATACAAAAGATTGTCTATTTTCTATTAATCATTTATATTTGCTTATACATTAGCAATATTAGTATTGTCCATATTTGCTTGGAATGTTATAATTTCATTATTATCTATTAGTAATTTAGTGAACTCACAAAACCTTATGTTGACAGAATATAGAATTGGGAATTGAATCCAATTTATGAAGTTTATAAATAAGACACTTGTGAATCTGATTCAGAAGACTTCTTTAAATTATAATAGGGTTAAACATATTATACTAAATGGACAAATTCAAATTAAGTATTTTCTCTTTGCATAAGACGATTAAAAGATTATAACTTCGTAAAGAGTAAACCTTAATTAATTAATATAGAATATTAAATATATCCTAAATGTTTAGATACTGAAGAATTATGTGGTGGTGTATATGTTTAGAATAAATATTGTGCTCCATAAGGATAATGTCCAATAAATAGTATGTTGTTTGTAAATGGAGAAGGTAAAAATAGATAATTATAATAAGAATTGAAAAAAGTTGATAAAACTAAATACACAAATTAGTTATAAATAAATGATAATTTTTACTTAGTAACTTCAACATTGGCAGAGGCATTACCAATAAATTAACTTGAAATTTTTGGAACAACTCCTTGTATTATTAGTTAATATACAAATTATGACACAATCTTTTCTAATGCTTTTTGTGAGAATGATACAGCATATACCCTTTTGAATCAGATTGATGAAATGACATTTGCAACTTCAAATGGATTTACTTCAAATACTGCTGATAAGTATTTATATATATAATTTATCTTTTAGGGTTGGTATATATTCTCGTAGTTACACTTAATTTAATATTGAATGTAGATAATAGAATCTAATAACTTGGGGTATAAGAACTTTAAAAGATAGTAATGCCATTTATCCTGTTTTATCAATATTAATGATAATTAGCATAGTTCATTTTGGACTTGTTGGTTTTGTTTAATCTTTGTATTATTTTATGTAAGTTCAATATTAAGCACCAACAAATAAAAATGTTCATTAAGGATTATTAATAGTTAAAATATTTATTTAATATTTTCATTCAACAATGATTATTTTGACATTTGGTTTGTGGATGGATATTAAATTATTTCTATAAATATCATATGATATGAATTGTAGTGATACTTAAACAGATACATTTATTAATAATGAATTAGATAATATTGATAAATAATGGAGATTAAGTTTTATTATGTTTTTATTGTTTGTTATCTTTGCTTTACTTGAATGTACTGCTTTCTCTATATGTTTGGATAAAAAACTTAAAAAAAAAATTGAACCAAAATATAGATTAATCACATTTTCTACTGTCAATTAATCTCAATTAGGAACTAAATCAGATAATTCTAATTTATATATGTATTTTAAACCCTAATTCAATTTATAATAAGAACTAAATCAATTAGATGCTAAATAGATTGATTAATCAGAATTTCCAAATTAAATTTTAGAAAATCAATAATAACTAAATAATAATAATGAACCATCAATCTCTATGAAACAATCTAATTCAATTGATCCATCCCTTTAATAGTCTATTCAAAGTCCAATTAAATAATAATCATTAGATCAATAAAACTAAAATTAGACTCCCTATATGTCTTAATTAAAATAAAAATAAAGTTAGAAATTTTAATAATAAAGTAATATAATACCTCCTTAATAATAAATTGATTTAGCTAATTTTTAATCTTAATAAGTACCTATTTAGAAACCTTCTATGAAATATGATATTGATGATCAAATTGATAGTGAAGAATAGAATAATCGCACTTATTAAGTAAATAAATGAATTTATTCTCATATAAATAATATATACATATAGTATTATAATTATATTATCATATTACTAAGAATACACTTTCTAATAGATAGATCATTAAAATATGAACAAAACTACCTAAAATTTAAAGTGATTTAGATAGAGATTTTAAATATAAATTGTGAAATGTGAATAAAATTTCAGTTGTTTGCTTCTTATGATTGTGCTTAATTTAATCCTACTCCTAATACTTTTTCCATTTCGAATACTCTATGATCTAATAAATTAGATGATTTCTTGATTCTGGCTTTTTCATTTTTTAAGGTGTCAACTTAATTACTTAATTCATGTATTTCAGCATTTGATTCTTCAGCCAATTTTCTAAAATTCCGAGTAAAATCAGCTATCTCTTCAATAAAGCTTGTTGATGTATCATCATTTATTGATGATTATAGATATGACTCATGAATTATTTCTTATCTCAGCATCTATAATTCCTTCTTGTCTTTTTCTAATTCATGTAATAGATATTCTAACATAATCTAGTTTTAATTACTAATACATTTAATTTTTCTTCGTGTTCAGTCATTGGCAGATTCATCGAATTTTTTTAAAACTGTTATAAAGCCTCTTTATAGGATTGCATTGAGTTATTTAATTAAATTTATATAATAAATTAAAAAAAAAAAGAATTAATCATTAATATTATCACAAAACTATAAAAATGTATCATAAAATAAAATTAATAGAAATTTCAATAAACTTAGATAGAAAACTATAGATAATATGAATTCAATAACCATGATGAAGCTTTTATTTTTATTATTTTATAAAATCAAATATTTTTATTTTATTTTTATAAAATAAATATTTTTATAATCAAATTACTTGAGTTTATTATTATTCAAGATATTTTTATGATTTAAAATGACATTATCATTTAATTATAGTTGATATAATAGATAAATTCATAATAAAAATGAATTTTATATTTGTACTTTTTAAATTTCTAATTCTTTAATTTATTTCCTTAATTTAATTATTATATTATTTTTAATGTATTTTTTAAATATAGCTTTTTAGAGTACTATTTATATTCTATAGTTTTTACATATCTTAATAAGAGTATTCAGATAATAATTATAATTAAATTTTAATTATACAATTTTTGATTATTTTTTGTTCAACGCACTATTCAATTTCTTTATATATTTCTGATTTGTTTTCTTATTACATTTATATAGTTAAGGTTAAGGTATTTGAAAAGAATTTATTTGAAAATTAATGATTTGATATTGATATATCAACATAAATACATTTAAAAGTATTCATCATATATTATAACATTTATCTTTATTTAAGGTTGATTTGATGATATATTAACAATAAATAAATATAATTAATCATCTATCCCTTTAAGTTGAATCAAATGAGACTCACATAACATAGCAAGTCCTGTTAAGTTCTTTAATAAAAAAAAATCTTTACTTTTAATGACTAAGATTTAATTAACACAGCAGAATCAACACCAGATTCATCAGGAAATTCAGAAAAACCGTAATTGTTGGTTTTTAGAAATTAAATAATGCCTGATTCATAGATTGCAAGAGAGCTTCATGAAGCGTCTATCTAGTCACATTGGTATGTTGAAACACCCAAAGAGTATGTAGATAAACGTAGTGTGAAGCTCAAGAAATAAAAACGTATAATTTAGTCATATATTGTTATTTTAGTTGAAAAAGTTGTTGTATTGGATCTAGATGAGACATTAATTTATCATAAGCATAACTAGACTATAATTCGTCCATTTTGCTAAGATTTTTTGGAAAGATTATCAAGAATCTGTACATTAGTACTTTTTACTGCTGCTAAAAAAGAACACGCAATAAACGTAATTTAATTGATAAATTTTAAGATGTTAAAAATTATAGATCCAAATAAAAAATATTTTAAAGCAATTTGCACATCAGAACATATGATTGGTAGTGTTAAAGATTTGAGAATTTTTTAAACTGATCTTAAAGATATTGTTATTGTTGAAAATTCACCAAAAAATTTTATGTATTTTTATTCTCTAAATAAGTGCTTAAATCAATAATGGTATACCAATTATACCTTTTATTGGTTAATAAAATGATAATTAACTTGAGCTATTACTATCATTTTTAGAAATAATTCTATTAGTAGATGATGTTAGAGTTCAATTAGCAAATATCTTTAAATTATAATATTTTTATAAGGAATTGAATGGAAAATAGGCTATAAATAAGTTATATAATTCTAAAAAAAATTTATGACTTAGAATTTATTTATATTTATTTATACTATAAAATAAAACATGTCAGATTATTATTTTTATAAACAAGAAGAGAAACTAAAATCAACTCGAAAACCAACCAATTTTTTATCAGATTCAGAAGATACTAATTCTCATCCATAATTGAGAAATGCATAACGGTTTTTGTAATTATGTATTTATAGAAAGTCAGTCGTAAACCTAAAATTATATAAGAACTAATCAAGTTACCTTAACCATAAGTTTAATATATTACTCCTGTATTTATTATTATACTTATTATAATTAGTACATACCTGAACCCATTCCAATACCTGAGGCTATTAAACAAATTGACAAAAAAATATAAGCATATCGAAAAGTAATGGAAATAACAAAAAAACAAAAAGAATTATAAGAACAATAAAGAAATGTTGAAAATGGATTTATTTAAAAATAATCTGTTGATTTTTTGACTAATCCTAATATACAATTACAAAATTAATAAGATGATGAAAATGAAGAAAAATAAACTCAAAATTCAAAAAATCAAGAAGAGATTGATAATAATTAAGCAAATACTTTGTAATTAGAAAATCAAAAAATGCCAAGATAATAATTTTATTCTGAATCTGTTAAAAATAGAGATTAGATTTATGATAATATGATTGAACGACTTTATGCAAAAAAATAAAATCCTGCTTTATTTGCAGTAATAATTTTATAAAATTAATTCAATTTTAGAAATTACAAAAGAAACCTCCTGCTTTAAATATTACATCAAAGAATAAAATTTAATCAGGAAGTGGAAGGATGGATTTGGAAGAACATAAATTAAGAATATATAATAGAGAGAATGTACCAACTATTCCTGAATTGATAATACCAACTTTTATGATAAAAAAAGATTCAATGGCAAAAAATATCTTGGCATATCTAGTATAAATTTTTATTTAATTTTTAGAAAGATTATTCTCCAATTTATAGATAATAGAATCATAATGAATATCCAAAATGTGTATAAAACATTTTAGAGGATGAAGAAGATGTTAATAATAATCATGATAAAAATTGAAATAAATTTGATTTAACATATTAAATAAAAATATCCATTCATTTAATTTAGATATAAACTATAATTTAAGTTAATATGCTTTCATCAATCCTATAATTAACTGTTAATTTATGGATTTATTGTATGAGAACTACATTTCCTTTTAGAATTCTTATCTTGAATAGAATCAGAATCCCCTTCAATTTCTACATTTTATTTTTTTATTTGATTCTATTCATCATTTTATTTTATTTCAATTTTTTACTTTTAATTTTCATTTTCATTATCATCTTCCTCTTATTCTATATTTGGATTTACTTAAGTTTTTTTCGTTTTTTTTGAACTACAACTAAATATATTAGATAAAAAATAAAAGTTACCAAAATTTTTGAGGAGTTTCAATTTAAACTTATTATGAAAATTTTTTCTATCTATTTTAAATAATCCAAGAATATGTTGTTATTCCTTAAAATTTTAACCAAAAATGAAAAATCATCAAATTAAAATTAAGAATAAAAAGGAGACCAACTAAACCAACATTTATCCAAATCCATATCATCATTCGAGGAGATTAAAAAAAGTAGGAAAATATAGCAAAAACAATAAAATTGATTCCAAATAATGATACAAATACTAATAATTTGAAGAATTCTTAATAATTCTTTTTCCCAATACAATTGTTTAACCATTTACAATGATGATCAAAATCTGAAACACATCTCAAAATTTAATATATATTCTACCTTTCACAAACTTTACAATGTTTAGTTGTACCACTTACATAACTATCACAATATTAACAAAAATAATCATAAAGCTCTTGATCTTATACACTAAATATCAATAAACCATAAATACACATTCAATCCATTTCTTTATTATATAATTAAATCATCTGTTGGATCTATGTAAGAAGTCTTAAAAGCATAAAAAAAGATCATTAATGCCAAAAAGTAAAAAAAAGATGCTAAAATAATCTACTTAACTCTCTTTCTTACCTAAACTAATAGATCAGTTATTGGGACTATTGCAATTGATACACAACACAATAATTGAATAAAGAATATCATAGTAAAGACTTGGAAAGGGTGTTTAGGTCTAGTAAAACCATTAATAATTTTATGTTCTCTGATACTAGTAATCATTTAATTTTATTAATCATGATTACTTTTAAGGTATAATTTTTGATTAATGATTGTAATATATGATAAAATATATCAATTTCATCTTCCAGACCAAGAGGCAACTTATTTTTTGAACATAATGATGACTTCATCAAGAATAGCATTCTCTTCTTCTCTCTTTGCCTTGGCTTAAGCATAATCAGCTCTTTTAGCTTCTAAGTCAGCTTAAGCTTAATCTAAAGCATCTTAAGATTCTTATAAAATAATCTTTGATTTAGCTTATTAGGCAAGAGCAGCTTAGATTTACTAAATTAAGAATATATATTTACAGTAGCAGTTCTATCAGCAAAGACTTATTTTCTTTCATATTCAACTTCTAAAGAGGAAATTTCAGCTTCAGATAATGAAACCCATCCAGCTAATTCCCATGATGCATTGATTTCATTTACTTTCAAATTTTCTAATGAAGCATCTAATTCTGATTCTAATCCTTCAAGAACACTCAAAACTTTTTCAGCTAAAGTTGTTCCATGACCAGATTATGTTCCTTCCTAAAAAGATGATTATTTAATATACTTCTTGTCCATTAGCTAAAGCCAAGAAAGCTTTAATTTAATGATCTTAGAATAAATTGCTGTATTATTTTAATTTCTCAGCAACAGATTAAGCTTTGACTTAAGTAAATTCAAATGAATCTCCATTAATGATATAACCAGCAACATCTTATTTTAAGAGTCTGATGACTTCAAGAGCTTCTTAATTGTGTTTAATAGATTTGACAAAAAGTTAATTGCTAAAACATTAATTATCTGAGAGAGCTTCAATTTTTCTTGCAATTTCATCTCTTCTAGCTTCATTCCAAGCCAAATAATTCTTTGTTTATTTAAGAACTTCTTCATAATTGGCTCTATTCTCTATGGCTTAATTAAAAAGTTTTTAGTTTAGACTTTTAATTTTTGTGAATTGTTCAATAGTTCTAAGTGGATTATTATTATTATTTACTATGCGCCAATCCATTCATCTGTTTCATTCTTTTAATCTGCAGCAAATTGAGTATCAATATTTGATTACTTTAAATCATTGAGTATACCAAAAACTGTATCAATAGCATCACTTGCTTTTGTTCCAGTCTATAAGATATAGCAATATAATTACTTATAATAAAGCAAGGATTTGATCCTATGTTTTTGATGCATAGGTTGTTGCTGCAAGAGCGAATAAAACAACAATAATGAATTTCATATAATTATTAATCAAAAACGTACTCTCATTAAAAACGATAAAAATCTATAAAATGTATCCCCATTATCTTCTCTTTAAATACAATTTTAAGTAATAATAATATATGAATCATATCCCTATTAATCATTGATATTAGTTATCACTAAATGAACTAGCATCTATTTAAGATTTACACTATATTATTAAATTAATTTTATATACATGACTAAGTTAAGATTTCCAATTTATTGGTGGGATTCCTTAATTCATTTTTGAGAAAAGTATCCTTAACAACTTTTCTTTTCCTCTAAATCCAAATCATTTATATCAACTTTGTTTTATTCTAAATTTTATGATTTTTATGATATATCAGGTAAGCGACTATTCTTTTGAATTTATTCTCAATTTACATTTCATTTTTGACTTGATCAATAGTCTAAAGGACAAACTATTCAATGTCTGATCTCTAATCTAAAATCATTTAGGCTAAAGCTTTAAAAGTCTTTAATTCTTTTGATCTTTAATCTAAAAGATTTCTCAAATTTCTTAATTACATTTCTAATTCCTACACTTTTGTATTACTTTGATATTTCATTATTTCAATTTTATTTGTCTATTTTGTAACTTCCTAAGTAGAATTTATATAAATATGAATACATTTGCAATGTAGGATTTCAAATATTAATTTCTATCTTTTCATAATTTACTCTTTATTATTTATTAATGATTCATCAATTGATATCTAAAGATATATAAAATACAATAATATACTCTTAAGCTTATTACTCTTTAATACTAAGATTTAATTAAAAATTAATATTTTCTTATGAGCATAATCCTTTTTTATCATTTCCTCTTTTAAATCATGAATTTCCTTTATCAAATTTTCTTTTTCATCCTTAATATTATATTAAACCAACTTTAAAATGACTCCGCTTATTCAACTCTTCATTTATCTTTTATAATTCATCTTTATATCTAATATCTTATTCTGTTTTTTCTTTTTCCAATTCTACTCAATCTAATAACAAATTTACATTTTAACTTATCATCTTTTCTTTATATTACCCTTTCTATTTCTTCTGTTGTTTATTTTCTTAAGTCATCATATAATTAGAGAAGCATATTATTTTAATAATATCTGATTCCATTTTTAAAGTCAAAGTCAACCAAACATAATTCTATACATACTTTATATTTTGATCATTAGTTTTTCTACTATTATCATTTAATTCATAAATCTTTTTCTATAACTCTATTATTCTATCTTATAAGACTTGAATTTCTATTAAAAGATGACAATGATCTTTAATTATTATTCACAACTCTTACAATATCTGAAGTGCTTTCTTTACAGCTTCTGTAAATTCTACTACTTCAATTTATTATTTTTTCTTTGCCATTTTATAATAAATAAAAAATAGATAAAAACACTTTATTACAAATTTACTATTGAATCTTATAAAATCAAATTTTTATCTTTAATACTCAGATCTGAATAATTAAATATTATTAAAATATAAAACTTTAAAATTTATCAAATAATATTTATAAAATTTAACTAAAATAATGAGTTCATAAATATAAACTCTATGATGACATAAATTCTTTTGTTGTATTAGAATTAATAATAATAAAAAATGAGAGATAACTTCACTTTTAATAAGTAAAATGACTTTTAGATTAACAACTAAAATGATAAAAGAAAAGACTATGCAACATTTCAAATTTAAAAAGAATCAAAAAAATTGATTTTGCAAGTATTAGTAATTTAAAGCATAGTTAGAATGGGGATATACGTTAAAAATAAGATTGCAACACTTAACTTTTAAAAAAGAATTTTTAGAAAATCATCTCAGAAGATTAGAAGTCACATGATGTTTTTCTTGATAGATTACCAAATGATTATTTTAAAAATTTGTAAGTTTCTAAAGAAAAATACTAAGGCTAATTAGTAAATAATAAAAATAACGAAATATAAACAGCAAAATATTAGTTGAATAATCATATAAGTGATTAATTTGCATAATAATAATAATAATAATAATTAATAAAACCTATAAATAAATCTATTAATATTTAAAATAATAATGAACCGAAGAAAGTTGGATTTGCTTAAGATTGTATATTTTGGGATTCTTCAAAAAAGAAAAAAAATAATGATAATTAAGATTAGATAATAAGAAACAAATTAATTAATAGAGAAGGTAAAAAATCATTTTTCTTGGTGGAATAAGAGTTAGAAAGAAAAAAATTAGATTCTTTAGATAATAAATATGTATAGGCACAAGGATAAAAATAGATAGATGAATTACTAAATGAAGATCACTAATATTGTTCAATTAAAATATAGAAAAAAAAGAATAATGAATAAAATAGATCTAATTAAATAAAAAGTAGTTTTGAAGATCATATTGATAATTTTTAATAACCTGAAAATTAAGTTTTTGAATACAATAAGCTTCTAAAATATTTATTTAAGAAAGATTATTTTGATACAAGTAAATAAGATTTTGAATTTAATAAAATACCTACTAAATTTTAAGATTGGGAATAATATAGTAAAATATTTTAACAATTTTTCTTAAATGAGGCTTGTGCTTAGATTAAATAAAGTTTTATTGAATTTATGTTTAAAATGAAAAAAAATAATAAATACAGAAAAATTTAAATCAAATTAGATGAATAAGAAGCTAATAAAGATGGAACTATATTTTAAATTAGAAAAATTTATGAAGAATAAAATAATGAATAAAATTAAATTTAAGATATAGATGAAGATAATAAATAAACATAAGGTGTGAAAGGTTCAAGTTTTGAAGAGATTAAAGATGGATATTGTGAATTAACATCTTTAAAAAACTATTTAGTAATTATCAGCAATAAATTTTAAATTAAATTAAGTCAACTTAATTAAGTAAATGATTAAACAATGCTTTTTTTTGGAATCTTAATTGAACCATAAAAAGCAACAGTAATTTAATAAATAAGGATATAAACTTTTGTTCAAAGATCAAGACTCAATCCTTCACGTTGGTATAATGTATTTCTAATCCCATTTATGAAAATAACTACTTTGATTAGAGAATTTTAAACTCTTTCATAGTTAAGATATATGATGACACCTCTATTTAATATAATTTATGATCCAAATTAATAATAACATTTAATGGGAACTGAAATTGGAGGTTCATGGACAGCATAATTTAGAAATTAGATTTCTAATAGTGAGTGTTTAACTAAGTTTTTTAAATTGGTAGATAAAAAATATAATTAAAGTTAAGCTAATTCTATAAAGGAAATATTGTAACAAGAGAAGGGAATTAGTTTACTTTAGGGACCAGTAAAATTTTGTATATATATATATAGCCTGGAACTGGTAAAACTCACACTTTGATTGGAATATTATCTGGGGCTTATGAATATATGAAAATTAATGATAAATTCCCAAGAAAAAAAATATTGGTATTTCATTAAATTTTAAATAAGATCTGTGCACCTTCAAATGCAGCAATAGATGAAATCATATTAAGAATTATGAGACCAGATAGTTTATTTGATTCAGATGGTAAATCACGAGAAGTTAAAGTAATAAGAATTGGATTAATTGATGAGGAAAGTGATTATTCAGATACTATTAAAAAAGTCTCTTTAGAATATTTAGCCTAAAATATGCTATTAAAATCTTAAATAGTAAAATAAGAAGCAGATTAAAAGACAACAGCTGATTTAAGAATAGATATTTGCAAGATCTAAAATTAAATTAAGAAATTATTGAAATTAAAAAAATAAGATCCAACAGATTAATCTATTAATAGTGAATAAATATCAAAATTGAAATCAGATTTGTCAGTTAAATAATAATATCTAGAAAAGATGAAAACAAATAAAATATAATATAAAGAATCATATAATTTATTTTGTGAAAAGATTTTGAATGAATCTGAAATTATATGTAGTACTTTAAATTCAAGTGGATCTGAAAAATTATCTAAATATATGGATTAAATTGAATTATTAATAGTAGATGAGGCTGCCTAATGTACTGAACCTTCTAATATTATACCATTAAGATTAGGTGTTGAAAAGATGATTTTAATTGGGGATCCAAAATAATTAGCTGCTACAACTTTTTCATCAATATCAAATACAAATTTATATAATAGAAGTTTATTTGAAAGAATTTTGGATAATAATTTCTAACCTTATTTCTTAAATATTCAATATAGAATGGATAGTGAAATAAGAAAATTTCCATCCTTTGAATTTTATTAAAATAAACTTATAGATCATGAATCAGTAATTTAAAGAGAATTACCTGAAAATTATTTTAAAAAGTAAATGTTATTTTTAGATATTATTGATGGATAAGAAAAAAGAGATAATACTTCCTATATTAACGAAAAAGAAGCTTACATAGTTTTTTAATTGATAAAAAATATTAAAGAATAATTTAAAAATTAAACTATAGGGATTATATCCTCTTATAAATCATAAGTTAAACTTATTTAATCTTTAATTAAATAGAGTAACACAAATTTAAAAGATATTGACAATAAAATATTAAGTGTAAATACGGTTGATTCATTTTAGGTATTATTTAAATTAAAATAAGGGATAAGAAAAAGATATTATAATATTTAGTTGTGTTAGATCATCTGAATGTAAAGGAATTGGGTTCTTAAATGATGGTAGAAGAATAAATGTTGCATTAACAAGAGCTAAATATGCATTATTTGTTATTGGAAATGGATTAACTGTATTTGTTTATTCTATTTAAGTTATCTAAAGGATAGTTATGGAGAAACTTTTTGTAAAATATGCAAGAAAGAGAATTATACAGAAAAATATCAAAAATAGAAGATTATTCTTTTTAATAAATACTCAAAGATGAATGGGAAGATACAAATAGATAAATGCCATAAAAATTAATTGAAAATTTATAATGCTAAAAAATCTCTAAAATTTGATCTTTATTTTATAATGCTTTTTTTGAATTTTGATAAAACTTATTCATTATAACATTAAATTTATATTGATTCATTATTTAACAATTTTAGGTAGACTATAATATAATCATTCAATGTAAGACTTCCTGTTAAAACATTTAAGCCAATTCAGTAAATATTTTTGGTTTCAAACACATTAAAGCTACAATTTGCATTGCACTATAGTCTTTATAAATTTCCCATTCTAATTGCAAATTATCAAATGATGGATTTTTTTTATTTTATTTATCTTCTGCCATTTATTTAAGAGTATCATGAACAAGATTTCGGATTTATCTTCCTGCCATGACACTTTTTAAATTCTTATGATTATATCTATTGTTAGCAGCATTATCTTATAATGAGAATTATGCTTTTTAAATATTGAAAAGTAGAGAGTGTTATAGACCAGAATTCTTCACTACTTTTTAAGATTTAGAAAAATATCTAATTATTAAATTCTTAAATCATACTTTTTATAAGCCTCCATACATTCATTAAATAAATCCATTTTTAAATATTTATTATTCCTATATGAAGTTAATTAGTATCTCATTTATTTATTTTCATATTTAATTTAATCAATTTAAGGATCAATTAATTATTCCTATTTTTAGCTAGACTGACTAAGTGGTTTTTATTGATAAAAAGTAGTTTATTGTTAAGTTCTTAAAGTTTCTGATGTTTTCTTTTATTTTTTCTAATGATGTCTAGCTGCATTAATTTCTCTTAAAAGAACAAGATTCTTTGAATTTTATTTATTAAGTGCTGCATGTTTATATTCAATCACTCTTTTAAGATTCTTACATCTTGTAGTATGTTCATAAATTTAATTTTATAACTTATTGATATTCTCTGTTAATGCTTCACTATATGTTTTATAGTTGTTAACATCTTCAAGTACTTTTCTAATTTCTACACTTTTTTCTATTTTATCTTGTAATTCCAACAATGATAAATTATACTTAATTAAGTTATTCTTAGCCCTTTCAAGTGCTTGCAAAATAGATCGATATCTAAAATAATAAATTATAAAAAACACCTTTTGCCAAGATAAGAATCTTGTTTCTCTCTTGTTTCATCAATTGTCGGTTGAAAATGATCTACATATTCATCTAATTTTTATTTATCCTCTTATCTAGAATCTACTAATTTTCTATAATCATTCTTTTAAATACTTAACAATTTCACGATAATTTGGCGACGGTTTCAGAGGCTCAGGAACATAAAATATTTTTGTCACTGACATATAATAAATTTAATAATTAGATTATATTCTCAATAATAAATTTCATAATTTATATAAATTATTAAATATTTCAATTCATCTAAGCTTTATTAAAATATTGGATGAATCTGTCAATCTAGTTAGATATTGATATTAACTTCTTATTTAATCATTCTTAATAACAACTTGAATTCCATTTAATTATAACAAGAGTATAATTAAATTTCAAATATTTATTTACTAAAGCTTTATTAAAATTTGATCCAAAAATAAAAATATACGATTACAATTAATGAATTAATAGAAATAAATTAAATTTAGATTTTACATGAGTGATATTTAAATTAAAATTTGATATACTAATTATTATTCATTCACCCCCTAAATATCTATAATTAACTTTATTCTTATTATTAGGTCTTGTTCTAAGTCTGCTATTCACCTAAAATTCAGAATTCTATTTTTTTAAGAAATAAGAATTACTTTATCCTCTTATTATTGTTATTGTTATTGTTATTATTATTATTATTATTATGGTGTAGAATTTACTTTCATGATGGGAGAATCCACTATGTTTTATTTCTTAATCATTTTCTTACCTGCATTACGCAGATTATCTAAATCTTGCTTAATTTCATCCTCATAAAGATTAAATCTAAAAGCTGATAATTTTAATAAAATTAAGAATTTACTAAATAAAACTTTATTATCTCTAGTAGCAACGAAGTTAATGTTTTTTTCTCTCATTCTATTATCATCACATTCTATAATTTATCTCTATTTTGGTAGATATTCCTCTACAGACTTTTCCTATTTTTTTTATGGTTGAGAAGTTTGTTATTGTTTCTTATTTGTTTTAGTGCAATTCAAACAATAATATACTTTATTTTCAGTTTCTTCTTTGATATTTTGATTCCTAAATTTAGCTTCACAATTTAAATGATTCTTTTATATAACTCAAGAGTTTACCCATTTTTCACAAGAATCGCATTAAATCCACTCCTATTCATCTTAATCATTAGCACCATTTGAATATACCTATAGATATTTTATAATAATTCTTAATACCTATTCACAAAAATCACAATAATTTCCACGATTGTATAATCTCAAACATTTCTCACAAAATTATAGGGCTTCTCCTTTTCTTGATTTGGCTTTTCGATCACCTTTATTATTGCATTTTTAATTATGACATTTCTAAACTTACTATGGTTCATCATCCTCGACAGTAATGGGATTATTATAAGTATTTGATTTCTTTTAATTCCCTAGACCCATTTAGCATATCAATTGATTAGACATGAACGGATTCAAAGAAGATGGATTAGTCATCTAAAGACTTTTTTATAAAAGCTTTGTATAATCTAATGGATTTATTGCACTCCCAAAACCTATATTAAAATATGGCAAATCAAAAACTATAAGGTCATTAGATGATAGTAAATAAGTGAACTTGATGATATCTTACCAAAATTGTTATTAAATAGATCTTATGGTTAAAGGGTTCTATTGGTATTGTCTTGAACTTATTGGAATAAGCCTGGAAATAACAATGATTTCATATTCAGGAAAGTACTCAAAAGATGTGATTATCTAAAATAAGTAATTAATTGCCGAATTAATGATTAGAGCTAGTCAGGTAATATTATAAGGGGAAAGTGGATTTGGAATCATACCTAAACTGTTATTAATATTCCTCAAGTTAAGTTGGAATAAGTTATTGCAATAAAGAATTTTAGTTGTTCAACCCAGAGTTCATTTTATTTTAATGATAGTTTAAATTAAAATGGTCATTCCCTATTTAATTATTATATAACATATATGAACCCAGTTATTTAATTACATATAAACTAATGTTAAGACACTTTGAGATAAATAATCGATTAGTTTTCTATTAAAAATACTCTTATGATAACACTTTAATTTTTCTATAATTTTAAAATTATATTTATTATTTTCAACAAAAATAAATCAAACAAAATTGAATAAAATCATAGATGAAGCTTCTTCCTTCTTTTTTAGAATCATTCTTTACTTAAAACAACCGCTTTTTATATATTTCTATATAAAAGAAGTTTAATTAATTTTAGTATAATATAAATTGCATTTATGTAAATTAATATTATAAAAGTTAATGTTAAACCTTTTAATCCAACATTACTATTATTATTAATTATTGAGATGATATTGAAGAATAGACAAAGTGTATTGTATCATACACAAATTCAATAATCATATATAGTTGACATAAAGATTAAATTTTATTTAAATATCTCATCTAAAGACAAGAAATTCAAAATGATGCTCTTTATTTGAGTTAGCTTTAGTTAAATTTAGATAAAATAGTTTATATAATCAATTACAGCCATTAGAGCTTGTCATATACTCTTTTTTGGAAGGTAAGTTTTCTTGATTTTTTCTCCTAACCATGATTGTACTATTTACTATAATTATCAAATTAGATGTTTTACATATATTGTTTTGTAGGATAACATGTTAAAGAACAAAATTATAGTGCCTTCCTGAATTAATCTTTGATCGAATTTATTTTTGGTTCAAATATTATATTGTAATAACATTTTAAGTTAATTTTGTGTCGAATTATCCATTAATTAAGCTATCATCATTTCTCTTTCTTGATGGAGACGATTGTTTTTGTTATGTACACCCCATGAAAAATATTCTTATTATAATAAAGATTTATAATCTAAATAAGAATTAAATTCTTGTTTATATATATTATTTTATAATTTTTAATTATTGAAGAATTATCTTGAAATTTGCTACGTCAAATACATATTTTCACAGGTGTGATTAATTTATTTAATAATATCTCTTTCTAAAATATGTCCTTGATGATATATTATAATTTATTTACAAAACTGATTATTTTTGTATAATCATGTATCGAAAGAACTAATATCTTTAACTTAAAATTGTGATTCAGATGTCTTCTCAAATTTATAATAAATCATTAGATTTGACCTCGCATAAAGAATCTTAATGTACTTGAAAAATCAAATAAAAAAGGTCTGAATAAAAATAAAAAAAAATATTATAAATATGGGACACACACGAATTAGAGTTTATAGAAATTCAATTAAAATATATTATCAAGTATGTTCTAGTATAATGTTTATATATAAATCTTATTGAGAGTAATTCTTTTGGTATATAAAGAAAGTTCGATAAATTGTTTTATCAATTTTATTAAGAGAGGAAGTGTTTATATATTTGTTCAATTTTTATTAGAAATAAATTAGACTTTTTAAACATGAGAGTCTCAACTATGAAGAGCAAAAATTTGGCTCTATAGTAGAATATACTATATATAGAAATAACTGCTATTGATAATAACAATATGTGTAAAACAACTAAATATATATATATTAGAAGATATTTTCAATATATAGAGTAAAGATTAAGGAAGGAGAAATGTTTAATAAAATACACTAGTAATATTTGGAACAATCAATTTAAATTAGAAAGTTGATCAAAAATAGCAGAAATTTAGATGTAATAGCTGTTGAAAGAATATAAAATGAAGTTATTAATTATTTAATTATTAGGTTTAAGTAAATAATAATATCATATAAAATAATTAATAAAAATTTTGGTATTTAAATTTTATTTAAAATGTAATTATACCGATTGATCCAATAAAATCACTTTTTACTATTTTTTAAATCATAGTTTAACTAATCAATACATTTCTTCATTCTAATGTTATCTAACATAAGCTCTTCATAAGAGGGTCTCCCAGCATTTCCACTAACACCTCCCCATTAATTTGATTAATTCATAGGATTAACTCCCATTTTGTTTTAAGAAATCTAATTAGGAGTTCCTAAATATGCACTATTAACCTATTGACCTGGTTATCCATATTATCCAATAGGACCATAAATTGGTTGACCATTAGGTCCATAAATAGGTTATCCATTTGGTCCATAAACAGGCTGGCCATTCTAAGGACCATAAAGTGGTTACCCATTAGAACCATAGAGAGGTTATCCATTTGGAGCATAAAGAGGTTGTTAATTTGGATTGAATGCTTAATTTTAACCAGCTGGTCCAAACTATCCATTAGGATTAGGTTTTTAAACAGGTTGTTATTCAGATGGATCCAATAATCCTAATAAACCATTGTCTTTCAAGATTTTCAAAGCCTTATTATAGTCATCATGAACTTATTTTAAATGTTAACTAAAAATAAGTAATTTGATTACTCTAATTCTTATCTTTCAGCCTTCAAATCATCTAATTCTAACAATGCATTATCTAATTATCTTTTCAATTTAGGTACATCTCCTGCCTTTTTTGCATCATTTTGAACATTGTTCAATTTTTTACCAAGATCATCTTTATCTTTTCTAAAATAATATAATTATCATATATATACTCTGCATCTTTTAATTTATCTCTTACTTTGCCTAATTCATCAAGTAATTAATTTCTATTTTTATGTAAATCATTTAATTAATCTTTTGCTTTGTCTCTGTCACCTTTAACATCACCTAAATTCAAATGCAAATTATCATTATCTAATTAAAGATCATTGCATTTCTTTTCCAAATCCTTATTAACCTTTTTTAAATCTCCTAAATCTTTTTAGAGATCATTATTTTCTTTGGCCAATTTACCTAATTTATCCCTTAAAACTCAATAATTTGTTACTTAATGGCTCCATTTTATTTTTCCAAAGCTGCCAAATCTGCTAACATTTTATCTCTATCACCTTTTAATCTATTTAATTTATTCTTAAGATCATTATTCTCTTCCAACACTTTATCATTATCTTTGTTCTTCTTTTTTAGATCATCAATCTCTTTTTTTAGATTATCATTATCTTTTGCTGCATTATTAGCTTTATCTATATTATTTCTTAGATCTTTGACTTACTATTATAATAATAATATAAATAGTATACATTTCCTAATTTATTATTGTCATCAAGTAAATCTTAATTTTTATGTCTTGCATCTCTTAACTAAGCTTCTAAAGGACCTATCATTGCTTTTAATTTCTCATTTTCTTCTGGTAAATGTTTGATTCTATCTAATTCAGTTTATAATCTAGCCACATCATTCCTTAATTTTCTATTAGCTTTAGCTTTAGCAGCAATATCATCTCGAAGTTTCTAATTTTCTGTTCCAATATCATCTTCTGGATCTCCATCCCCAGTTACACCTTCACAATCTGGACAAACGCCATATTCATAATCAGGAAAATTACTATTTCCTTATGGCTTAGCTTTTTATATTTCTTATCTTGCTAATAAATCATTCTTATGTTATTAACAAGTTAAACAAAATGGACAATGTACTTCAGGTTATTACTACATTCTCACTGTATTTTCCATCAATTTTGGTTAGTATACTTGAGATTGCATTTATGATTATTAAGTCATTTGAGGAGGCATAAAAGGAGCAGGAATAGCATTACTTGGATAGTTCAAAGGATTTTAAGATTATTATTGAATTGGTTGAGCTGACAAGATATTATTGTTACTCTAATATTGACTACGACTCTAAGGTTAAGTAATGATTTAATGACCAGACATTTGTAGGTTATGTTTTAATTTTTTTATTTAATTACGTTTTACTTAGTTTAATCATATATTTATTACTTTTTGATATATTACTTAATAATGCTTTCTCTATTTATGATGTTGAAGATTCTTATTTGCTTTATTAGTAATTAGCTAAAAAAACCAATAAGAATAATTGTTTCTTTAATATTAATATTTATAGGATAGAATAAGATATAATATTTCTAGTAATAAAATGTTTAGATATACAAATTTAAAGGAATAAAGAATTGAATTATTATGATATTATACAATATTAATTTAGAACAATCAATTTCCTGATATTTTTGAATCTGATGAAGCAACTTTGGCTTCTACTTTTCCTTCTGATACATAAGAAAAGAAGACCAATTTATAAAATAAGTAGAGAGATAATTGCATTATAACTACAATGCCTATTATGATATACTTCTTCTGAATCTATAATTTATCTAATTCTCTAATAATATTATTGTATTTATTGTTACTCTTTCAAATTGAAAATTAAGAATAATATTGAATTTCCAACTCCATATACAATGATTAACCACAAAAACAATTCATTCTAAAAATAACATAGAATTGTGATGGGTAACAATGTTGACATTGAATAACCATATAAACAAATGGTTTAGAAGAAACTTAAGTCAACTCCTAAGATCTTCATTACAATTGCTAAGATAGCTGGAGTTCCAAATGCAATTATATATAACAAAGCTGTTGCTTAAGGAACATAACCAACGTCAAATGATTGGTTCTCTTTTTCTTAATCTACTTATCTCAAATTAGCTATAGCTGTAATCAGGAAAATTAAAGTAGCATTGATCCATATTGGTCCCCATCTAGTAAATTAAATCAATATATATTACAAATCTGGATTATCTTTAGTTATATTAAGAAAATCTGGTCTGAAAGGAAGGAATGTAGCTTAAATTCTTTGAATTACATCTGTTTCTGTAACATTGAAATAAGGAGTATAGTATCTATTTTAGAATTATTGTAATACTCTACTGTTAAAAATCCACAATATCCTGTTGACTTTTTATCACCGCTATCATCAAGTTTATTAAATTACTCTGGTTATACTTACTTTTCCTCTTATGTTTATTTTTAAACTCCAATTTCCATTCTATTCTGATAATTTTATTTTAAATAATATTAAAATTCATATTCATTTCCAATTAAATCATTTTAATATACATATATTTGTCAACCATTAAACAAATCAAATAATAGATATATCTTGCAATTTTATTATTTTAGACTTTCATTTTTTTATAATATTAAATTTATACATGTAAGACGATTTTAATTCTCATCCTGAGATCATGAAATCACAGCTAAGCATGCTGCCTCCTATTGAATAATATACTTTACAGTAGTTAGCTAATAAACGAAAAATAAATTTTAATATGATGCTTTCATTGCCGGTTTAATATTAAATTTTTATTTGCAGTTTCTACTGAAAGACAAAGCCTTAGAAGATAGAAAGGATACTATTGCGATATATAGAAAACATAAATTTGAGCCTTTAAAACCTTAACAACATAAAGTGACTTTAATTAATAGTGGTCGCATTCATTGTACTGAGTTTTGGTCAGATAAATATCAAAGCACTGCTTTAAGAGATTCTCATATTGATAGAAATTTAGATAAATATAGACAGATCATAAAAAATAACATCTAAGATTATTTAATTAAATTTGATATGCAAGCTAAAGAATAATTGGAAGAAACAAAAAGGTATTAATTAAATAGATTCAAGAATTAAATATTAAGAAATCTTCAAAAAGCAATGTTCTATCTCTGATGAAGAGTTTGAACCATCAAATAATGAGTTAAATCTTATTTAATGCACTTAAGATGAAATTATTAATTATTATAGAGAGATAAAATAGCATGATTCTGCTAAAAAGACTAGTTTAAGAAATCTTGATAAGATAACATGTAGTAGTGTAAAATAAAGTTTTATTGAGAAATTTGACAAAGTAATTACTACTTGTGATCGAAATTCTATTGCATCCAATAGAAATTCTTTAGATAGCATTAAGTATTATTAATAATATATAAAATTCTAGAACTTGTGGATATGTGAATGTTAAATAAAGAACTAAACATATTGTTGGTAGCAAGACAAGTAGAAGTCATTATAATTGATACTAATTTATATATATATATATATATATATTTATGATCAAACAAATTTCATCACATTATTGTTTTTACTCTTTATGAAGAAGATGTAAAGCTAGATTTTTTTAGATTAACTTTCTTTTATATAGCGAAATAAGGTTGAAGTCTATGTTAAAATAGGGGAGCTGTCTAAGGAGCTGTATAAATTCGAGTTTCCTTTGTTTCTGATAGAAATTTTATGATGGAATCTCGTTTAATTTATTCATAAGGTTTATGTTTGTATTTATTTAATTACAGTAAAACATACTGTTTTTATTTAGGTGCAAAAACTATATGTTTTCTTGTTTACTGTAATTAAATACTAGGTTCACTTGGGGAATCTGATATCAAATCAGAACATTTTTTTTCCAATGGTCGTTAGTAGTAAGTGCGATCCTTGGTAAATGTCCTTAGAACTTTGATATCCTACATGCTATCATAATGAGAATCCTTATTAGAACTAGAATGATTCAAAGGATGGAATTGGCTTGTATTTGGTGTATCTATCTTCTTAAACGATTTCTGAAATTTGGTTTTCATTCTACCTTATATTGCTCTTCTTCTAAGATCTTTGACTCTATCTAAAAATTGATGCTATTATATAATAGTTCTAGGGTATTTAATATCTATATTCAACTTTAGAATAAACTAAATCACTTACAATTTTTTATGAAATAGAGCCTTCATTGTAGCTTTTTCTTCTTTGTCTTTGCAAATCATGTGAAATCTTAATTAATTAATAACTATGAATTTCATTATTGGTTTTATGTAAGGATTTCAAAACTACACTTGGTTTTACTTACTTATGTAATTTATTGTAAAATTCAATTTTTTAGAATTTGACTTATTGATTTTCTGAACTGTCTTTAGCAATTAATCTTGGATATTATTTACAATTCTTATCTTGATCATTGTTTATTAAAATCCTCATTAAATTAATTAAATGTAAACATCATTAATAGGTTTTTATGAATATACTATAATTAATAATTTCAAATTTTAATTTACTATTAATGAATTAACAGCGTAGACTTTCTCCAGCTCCATAAAGTCCTATTCAACGCAATAATATAATTTCATGTATAATTCATTATTAAATTAGAACATTCTAATAGATTTTAATTCCTTTAAGTTACTCCATCTACACATCCTATTTAATATGTATAATTATAAAATTGTAAGAATTCACTATTTAAAATTAGATAATGAACCAAGATAAATATCAAGAGAAAGAGATAATAACAATCAAATTTCTTATTAATAAATTTGTCCAAAAGGATTTTAGAGTTTAAGATTAATGAGTTAGCCTGATGCTAATTCAAGTAAATCACCTGTGGTTCCAGTTATGTAGTCCTAACCAAATATAAGACCTAATTAAAACTCTAATTCTTTACAATTATATATAGATAATGCTATTAGAAATTAAAGAGAAGAAATGCTAAAATTATTCGAATAATAAAATAAATAAATCGATTATATGCATTAATAATAATAACTTATAATCTAATAATAATAATTACAATAAGAAAAAAAGAAAGAATCTGTTAATATTGAATTATAATTCAATTAAGTGAAAGAACAACTCAATTTTTAAATTACTTAAACTTGTAGAGAAATGATTCATAAAATACAGAAACAAGAATAAACTGATTTCAAAGCTTTGCAAGTTTAAATAGAAAAATTAAAATCTTAACTCTATTAAATTAATTTATCAACTAGCAAATAGTCTGATAAATTATAATAATCTTATAGAGGGAAAGAGAATGAAACAGAAGAATATTAATATAAAAAACACATACCTTAACGTAATTCCTTAGATAATTATGATTAATATATTAAGAAATATGAGTAATTCAATAAATAAGTAAATGATTATTTGATAAATCGAAAAATACCTGATCATTTGAGTTCAATATTAAATTCTAGTAAAGATTCAAATAGTGAAATTCATGAAATTGAATACATATCATCAGATCATCCTCTTACTGATATTACAAACATTCATAATATTAAATAAAATAAATCAAATTAATAATAACCTTAATAATAAATTGTTTAGACATCCATCACTTAATAAATTATGACTTAAAAAACTAAAATTTAATCAAATAATTAAATTAATGAAGATTCACCTATAAAAGCATTGAATGAATAAATGATGATTGATAGTTTGGATAATATTAATGTACATGATCCAAATAATTTATAAATTACTAAAGAAGAATTTGATCAATTAAAATGTAAAATATTAACATAAATTATAGCATAAAGAATGTCAACTATACATGAAAATGATGATGAAGATGAAGAATTAATGTATTAAGTAGATGAAAATGGATTTATTCTTAGTTAAGACGGACATCCTTTAATTGATGATTAAGGAAAACGAATTTAGTTAACAAAATAAGAACTTCAATTCTATAAAAGTAAAATTAATAGTTGATTAATATATATATATATATAAATAATGCACTCATTTTTATTTATAATAATTGGCCAAACAACCCTGTCTCTTTAAAAAACATTCCATATGATTCTCCTTATTTTATTATTCTACTTTCCTCTAAGTAGTAATAGGAGATTTAACTCTCTAATCTAAAATAACTCTATTAATCCTCTCCATCATATTTGAAATTGGAATTGGTTTCTATTTGTTTCCTGATTCTTAATTACTAAATTAGGTTTTTATCCTAATTGGAGATACAAATGATTTTTCTTTTGGACTTTCCAGTTTTTCTTTATGAGGCTTTAAGTAGAAATCTACATTTTAACGAAATTTTTAATAATTCATAAACTTTAAAAATAAGTTTTCTTAAAGATAACTATCTATATTTAATTTATTATACAATTTTTTATAAAACTTGTCTTATATCATTATAAAAATGAATATACCTTATCTAAATTATAATTAAATCTTTATTACTATTATTATTAATTTACTCTTAATAAACAAAATTAAAACTAATCATTTTTATTAATCTAAGTGATTATTATGAATATGATTGCCATTACCATTTAAATTGCTATTTCCATTATTATGGGATTTCATTAATTAAATTTTCTTGACTTTTTTATCAATTTCTACTTCCAAATTCACAAAATGTTATAATTTTTCTATAGTTGTAAATTAATCATTTTCAATTTCTTAAATTGTAAAATACTTAGCAACACAATCATTCTTGAAACGTGGTAATTTAATTTTAATAATCTCAAAAAATATTTAGATAATCTTACTTCCTCTTAAGTTATGGAGTACTTTTATCTATTTTCTTCAATTCTTTATTTCCTTTCTTCTTTATTTGGATTATCACCTGTATTAATTACACATCCATTCTTTCTCATAACTCCTTTTTTTTAATTATTATCTATCCAAACCTTTTCTAAATCAATCTACAATCCTATATTATGGTTATATAATTGAATACCCATAAAATCTCCCAATGATTATTATCCAAGCATTCTCTAAGTTTATATATAAATCTATCCAATTGATTTATCTGGTAAACATTCTGATTATATGATGCTTCTCCATTTACCAATACCAAATTTCTGTAATGCAAGTTTAAGTATTTTGACTTCTTCCTAAGACCAACCTGGAGATAATGTATAATTCCATAAACTCTTGGATTCATTGTGTGCTCCATGTTTCTTTCTTTTTTATTTCTCCATTATTGGCGCTTTAATTGATTAAATACAAATATATTAAGGAATGGTTTTTAATTAATTTTTATTATATAAATATCATGAGTACTGTGACAAATGAGTCTAAGAAAAAAGAAAGCATTGATAAAGCTCTAATATAATAATAAAGAGAGCAACTTAAATAGACTGTTTTAGAAAGATTTATAAAAGATTTTGGAAAGAATAACAAAAATAAAATATAAGTAACTTACAATTTAGATAGTAGATTATCACCAATATTGTGAATGAATATTTCTCAAAAACTAGAGTTACTGATGTTACTTTGAAAAATTTAAAACAATAAGTTTAATAAGCAATTCAAAATGCAGGATCTACAACCTAATCTCAAGCAGATTAATCAATTAAGGAATCATAAGGTATAACAATGTTGTATTTTTTAGTCACATAATAACAATAATTATAATAGATTCCATAATAAAAACCTCCAAGTAGTTAATCAAGGAAATCAAATTAATAAATATAATAAGCTCCATAATAACATCAAGATTATTATTCAGAAACATCTTCAAAAGTATAAAGTATTTATTAACAAGGCACCTAAATCAGTTTATATGATGGAAGGAGATGAAGATGATGAATGGGCAACATTAGTTAAATTTGATACTGAATTATTCAAAAAAGAAAAAGAACTTGAACTCATAAGAAAATAAGAATTTAAGAAGAAGATCAAATCAGAATTGGATAGATAATTAAATGAGAAATAAAATAAAAAATATGAAGAAGTTTAAGATGAAGATGCTTATGTAAAGTTGCATCATTATTAATTAAATGTATATGATTAAAGAGAGAAAGATAAATAGGATAATTTGAAGAATAAAATATATAATGAAAAATTGTAAAGAGATAAATAAGTAAGAGATGAATAGTAAAGAAAGTATAATTATTATTATATTATTAATAGAAAAGTTGAATAAAAAAGAGAGAAAGAATTAGATAGTTTATTAGTGAGAAAAATTAGAGAAGAATTAGAATTAGAATAAAGAGAGTAATTAAATAGAAGAAACAAAGAAAGAGAGCGTTTTCTAAGAATGATGAAAGAAAATGAAGAGTATAGAAAAAAAGCTTTTGAGGATGCTAAGTAAGAAAAAGAAGCAGAAATTTAAATGCAATAATAATATATCAGTTTATAGAATCAATTAGAGGAATAAAGAGAATTAGAGAGAAAATAGAGAGAAGAAAAAATGAAAAAAGTTATGGGTATGTTTGCTGAAGGAGTTGTTAAAGATTAAAAAGAATTGATTAAATAGGAAGATGATAAAATGCTAAGAAATATTATATAATAGAATGAAAGAGAAAAGATTGAAGAAGAAAAGAAAAAGTTAAAATAATTAGATTAAAGATAACAATTAAGATCATTTTTAAATTCATAAATTGAAGATAAAAAAAGAAGATAAGAAGAAGAAGAAGAACTTAATAAAAGATAAGCTGAAATATGGAAATAAGATTTAGACAATTATAATGATCATGAAAAAAAAAAATTTGATGTATTCAAATCCCATTTTTACATTAGTATATCAAAGAAGTAAATTTAAGACATGCAGATATATTAAAAAGTTAAATCTAAGAAAAACAAAGTAAAATCAAGTAAAAGACTACTAAAATGAACACAGCTGAATTATTATAAAATAAGGATAAACTTAAAGTTATTGCATAAGAAGTTCCTGATTTAGGAGAAAAAGTAAAAAAAATTGAGATTTGATGAATAAAAATCAGCATAGCATATTATATAAATAATAATTTTTTTTGTTAAATTTTATGATACCTAATCGTGAATAATAACTAAATTAAAAGGAATTAGAAGCATTAAATTAAAAAAATAAAATAGCATCTATATTAATTGAAGATGCAACATTTAATACTATGATAAATAAAAAAAGGGCAGAATTAAGTGATAAAGAATTTCTTAGATGGCTTGATTTAATTAAAAGATTAGATCAACAAAAATCAATTCCAATTAAGGAAATTGGATAAGAGAAAACTTAACTTAATAAAGTCAAATAAATTAATAATAAATAAACTTAAAATCATGAATAACTAAAATCTTTTGGATAATTATAATAATAACTAGAATTAGAAAAAATATAGGCTTAAATTAAAAAAAATGCATAAAAAGCATAACATCAAATAGACAGATAAAGATTAGGTGAAATTGCAACTAAAGATTTTAGTAATAAAAAAAGAGTTGAAGAAAACTAAAAAATACTTGAAGAAATGTTAAAAGAAAAATAAAAAGAATAGGAAAGATAGGATTATTTTATTAATGAAGAAAAATATAAAAATTCTAAATTTCATGATGATAATGAAGTTTAAATGGAGAACAATCTTAATAAGTTAAAGTATCATTCTAAAAAGGAAAGCAAAGGAAAATTATTCAATGAAGTATCAAAATCTGGTAATCCTTTTCATAAAAAACAACTATGATCAATAAATAGAATTGTTATATTAATATTCTTAATTAAAACATAATAGTTAAGATCTTTTTGAGAAATAAATTATCAAAAATTCATTTGAAAGAATTATGAGAGAAATCTATGTAATAATATTTTTTATTAATTTCATAAATAAATTTGTAAAGAAGGTGTTTTCTTTTTTCTTACTTGAATTTAGGATTTTGATACAAAGTAAAATTTGTTCATCCTCATTCATTACAAGTGATTTATTTAAAAAAATAAAAATTATATTTTAAAAACATAAATGTTATAAAGTTGGAAATGTTAATACATATACTCATTAAGTTAAGAAAATTTATAATCTTATCTTTGATCCAAATTATTATCAAGTGTGTTTTGAAGTATATTTATTTATATGAATATTAAATAATAGTAAAGAATAGTTATTTTTTTTAATTATTACATTATTTTATGATATATAGAAGTTTATATTTGATATTTAATAGATTAGGGAATCAAAGCATAAAATTTTCAGTGCAATTTTTGTTCAGATGATTAAAATTTTGATTATATTTAATGATCAGTATTTATACATAAAATATAAAAATTTTTGCATTAGATTAAAAAAAATCTATAAAAATGTAATAAGAAGCAGATTATGTAAATATTCATTTATATTTATTAAGAATTAAGATGAAAAATAAGTATACTAATTGAGGTAGTAAATTATTTGTTACAAGCAAGTTTAAAGGTAAGATTGAAAGTAAACATATAGAAATCACCACATAGAAAATGAAAAACTAATGTTTCCATACAGTAAAGACTAGTGGGAGACAGAAAGGGAAAAGATATTCTAGAATTCGATTCAATATTTTCATGACAAGATTGATAAAAATGAGGAACTCAAATCCATTTTTAGAGACAGATACCCAAAGCTTAAATTAGATCAAACTTGCGATGTATAGTCATTGATATGATTCTTTAGGATATGTCTTTATTTAGTGAACGAATGCAAGGGTATATAGAAAAGAGGAGATAGGATATAGAATAGGAGCTAAAGAAAACCCACCAAAATGATCCAAAATATGTGAGTTTGAAAATTGAATTACTGTTTATAAATTCAAAGGATTTTTATTTGAAAGTTAAAGAGTCTATCTTAAATCCATTGTTGTAAGAAGAAAATTAAGCAGTATTGTAATCAAGGATGTTGGAAAGATTATTACTAGATAGAAATTATTTTAGAAGAGATAAACCTTAAAGAAGAGCTGAGAGTAAGTTATCAGATAAATTTGAATTAAGTATGATACGACATGAATAAGCAAGAAGAAAGAAGCTAAAATAAAAAGAATTTATGTCAGCAATATTTGCACATTAGATTGAATTTATGGAATTTCATAGAAAGAAATACAAGCATGCTAGAAAACGAAGTGTTTAATTTAAGGTTGTATTAGAATAAAGAGAATAATAAAGAGATAAATAGATGAGAATGGAACATATCAGAAGAGGAAATCTAGAAACTTATATTTAAGTTTTGGAGAAGTTGGATGAGGCTAAAAAAGAGAGAGTAGTTTCTATATTGAGATAAACAGATTAATTTTTAAAAGATATTGGTGCAAGAGTGAAAATATAAAAAGGTGAAGAAATTACAGAAGAAGATGAAGTTATAGAAAACATGAATTCTAGTAATGGTTTAGGATATGAATTAAGTTAAGCAAATAAAGTATATTATAATATAACTCATAAAATAAAAGAAGTAATAACACAATAACCATTATTATTAGAAGGTGGATAATTAAAATAATATTAATTATAAGGATTAGATTGGTTAGTAAGTTTGTATAATAATAATTTAAATGGTATTTTGGCTGATGAAATGGGTTTGGGTAAAACTATTTAAACTATTTCTTTATTATGTTATTTAATTGAAACAAAGAAGAATTTTGGACCATATTTTATTATTGTACCTTTATCAACTTTAAGTAATTGGTCTAATGAATTTGAGAAATGGGCTCCATCTATTAAAAAAATTACTTATAAAGGATCTCCTTAAATAAGAAAAGAAATATCAAAATAAATGAGAACAACTAAATGGAACATATGTCTTACTACTTATGAATATGTTCTAAAAGACAAGTTGACTTTATCAAAATATGAATGGAAATATATAATTGTTGATGAAGGTCATAGAATGAAGAATTCAAGAAGCAAATTTGCAATGATTTTAGGTTAATAATATTAAAGTGAAAGAAGATTATTACTAACAGGTACTCCATTATAAAATAATATTGCTGAATTATGGGCTTTATTAAATTTTTTGTTACCAAAAGTATTTTCATCATGTGAAGATTTCGAAAAATGGTTCTAAACACCTTTAAATATTATGGGAGCTAGTGAGAAAGATATTTAATTAGATGAAGAAGAATAATTATTGATTATAAATAGATTACATTAAGTACTTAGACCATTTTTATTAAGAAGAGTAAAAAAGGATGTTGAAAAAGAATTACCTAGAAAAACAGAATATGTTATAAAAATAAAATTATCAGCTTGGTAAAAGAAAATATATGATTAAATTAATTAAAGAGGAGTAATGACATTTGATTAATAATCAGGTAAGAGTGGATCTTAAGCATTATAAAATTTAATGATGTAATTAAGAAAGATTTGTAATCATCCTTATTTATTTATGTTAAATTTGGATATGAATAAAGTTACAGATGAAATTTGGAGATCAAGTGGAAAATTTGAATTATTAGATAGAATTATTCCTAAATTATTATACTTTAAACATAGATTATTAATATTTAGTTAAATGACATAATTAATGGATATTATGGAAGCATTTTTTGAATATAGAGGATGGAGATATTTAAGATTGGATGGATCAACTAAATCAGAAGATAGAGAATCTAGAATTTAATTATTTAATTAAGAAAATTCAATTTATAATATTTTCTTATTAAGTACTAGAGCTGGTGGATTGGGATTAAATTTATAATCTGCAGATACTGTTGTCTTATTTGATAGTGATTGGAATCCAATGATGGATTTATAAGCTTAAGATAGAGCTTATAGAATTGGATAAAAAAATGAGGTTAGAGTATTAAGATTGATTACTGCTACATAAATAGAAGGTAATATTCTTAGTAAAGCTGAACATAAGATGGGATTAGATGCAGTTATTATTTAAGCAGGATTATATAATTAAAGATCAACTGATTAAGAAAGAAGAGAACGTTTATAAGATTTTTTTAGGTAAAAAAATAAAGTAGATTTGTTTGAAGCAGAAGAGATACCTGATGATACTTAAATTAATGAATGGATAGCAAGAAGTGAAGAAGAATTTGAAATGTTTAATGAATTAGATAGGTAAAGATATGAATAAGAAAAATTAATATATAAAAATTTTAATGAGAATAAAGATGATCAATATTATAATTATAGATTAATTTAAGAAGATGAAGTTCCTGAATGGATTACATCTAAATAAAATGAAGTATAGGAAGTTAAAGAATATGGTAGAGGTTAAAGAGAAAGAAAGTAAGTAGTTTATTATTTACCTGAAGCATCTCCAATTTTAGAAGAATAATAAGATGATATGAATGAATTAGATTTTAAAATGGATGATTAAATAGATATTGAGTAAAATTAAGTGTATTAAGATGATCTTGATTTACCTAAAATATAAAAGAAAACTAAAAAATTAAGATAAATAGAAAATGATGATGGTAATAGTAATAATATTGATGAAAATGAACCAAAATTAAAAAGTAAACGTAAACTTAATTGATAATTACAATTTATTCAATTTATTCATAATATATAAAAATAAATTTATACAAAATCATTATTATTATTATTAATTATTATTATTATTTTTTTCGATAACACATCCATTATCCATTTTTTCTAAATATTCTTCTTCTTCTTCAAATTCTTCATCATCATATTTATCTTATTCTCTTTTTGCCAATTCTTCTGTTTCAGGCTATTATCTCAATTTTAATGGAATATAACTTCTTATATAAGTCTATTCATTTATGAATATAATCTTTAGAGACCTCTAATTATAAGTTCTACCATACATTGATATTACAGTACGTTGTGCATCCTCAAAAGTTGAATACACAAGAAATAGAGAACCTGCTTCAGCTTTAATTTATATTTAATTTATAATACCTCCTAAACTAGCTTAAAATGGTTTAACAAAAAAGTCATCTTCAATTTAACCATATTATGAAAATCCTTCTAGCAAATCTTCTCTCATTTCATTCCATTCATTTTTATTTAAATTAATTGCCATAGCAACATTTAAGAAATTTCCAACCT